TCGTGAAGGGTAAGGTCTATGCTTGTGAGATGGAGTCTATCCTCACATGAAACTTCCAGATGAAATCAACACCCATCTTCTCAACCTCAGCAAGGTATCTTCAGCTGCAAGGAACTGTCTGTTGTCTCGCTGTCAACCAACATTTTCTGTAACTTGCCAAAACGATAGGCTGCTCTCTCTGTTGTCCCACGACCAATGTATCCTTCTTTCAAGTTATATGCACCCTGGAAACTCCTGTCAGTGCTGTGACAAATGAGACATTGACCAATGTCATCAAGAAAAAGACAAATAGATGAGACATGTCACAGACACATGAACAGAATAACGGTCTCTCCAACTCACACACCTTTCGAGACTGCCACTCTCAGTCTGATCTACAGGATATAATGTCTCGTTTTTGAACCCCAACTACAATGTAACCTTCCTCACCTTCCTTCTCGACTGCCAGCAGCCATACAGCTGAGAGTACCAGCGAGAAAGCATGTGGTTAGTATGTTTAGGTTTGACTATCTTTCCAGCTCCAATTCAATTGTGCGATAGGCAGTTTGACATGGACATCGATGCTGCATCTAACATTCCAGGGTGCATTCACAGCTGTACCATGCTATTCTTGTCCTTGGGGTTGAAACCGGTCTCTGTACCCAACAATGAGCATACTACATCTGGTATTTTCCCACTGTCCCTTATTCAAACAGAGAACTCATGAAGACACCAATCGCCTTCGTTGTGGAGAGTATTCTCTTCCTGTCGACCATGCTCATTTTACATCCGACCACACCAATTCTGACTGCCATTGGCACCAGCTGACGATGAACACCGATGGTGGCATCCCTTATGAATGCAGATAAAACCATTCCTGGAATATTGCGTTCCTGAAGATTAGGACGTTGCTCTATGAGCTGTTATCTCATGCTGCGCACTCGTCTACTTGACAATATTTTTGCCAAAGCGTATGGGAGGGCAAAGACAGGGGAGATGGGTCTGAGGCATGCAACAAAGACAAGTCCAGGTGCCACCATTCATTGTTTGGCTTTGTTCCTCTGTGCAGACCTACTTAAAAGCAATCTGGACTATGATAGTCACCCACTGCATCCATCCCTGCATCTCCTTCCATGATGAACGGACTAGGCTATCCTACTTCTTACCAATCTGGTGTGAGCCAGCTTGTCCCTGCAAATTCCTCAATACCTTTCACGAATCATTCAGCACCAGCATATGGAGCAGCCATGAATGTTCAGATTCAAGCACCTGTTCCTGAAACACCTTCAACCTCATGGTTGCCTTCAGGCTGGAGCGCACCATCAAGACAAACCAGCTGCCCATGCTGCTGTGGCCGCAGAAGGTGCAGGTGGCGATTCTCCTACCCTGTCCGAATGATGATCACTGTCCATGAAGAATTATCATTCCAACCACAACCCCAAGGATCTTGGTCAGTGCCTCTTCACTGCGTCCAAGCTAGAGCTCATCCTTTCACAGCCTGCCCCCATGGATACTCAGCATATATCAAAAAGAGACATTCCTGGTGTCGCAGAATGGTCCTGAAGTGAGCTTTCTGAAGACATTCGAGAGCCCACTTTATCAGTTCAGCTGGAACGATGCAGAGCAGAGGCGACTTTTCCTCAGATGCGAGCCTTGGGTTGATGCAGACAGGGTCGAACTGGACAAGGTTGTGTGTTTGGGATGTGGGTGTGATGTCTCTCTTGGGAATGTTGAGTATAATCCAGGTAACTGGATGTGCCATCAGGATTGGTGTGTTGGTATCGAGAATGTGATTTTGAGTTCTGTTCTGGATGCTTGGGAAATTCAGACTGTGAATTCTTCTGTGGGGAGATCATGATGCTCAGTCTAAGTATTATATATTTGGGACCTGCAGAACTGTTATTGTTATATAAAGAATAAAGAGTCATGGCAGTATATTACCTTGGCATCACTATGACCTTAAGTCAATCGAGTGTGGGAGGAAGTTAGTTTCCCACTTCATCATTATCTACAGGTCCTCTTTGCTTCGTTTCTTCATAAAAGTGGCACTCAATCACTGTGGAAATATACTCACATTTTGGTCCTTATAGTACTTCTGTGATGGCCTATATATTTGATTTGACACAAGAGTTCTCCTTCGCTTTCGTCGGTAGCCTTGTGATAACATGAGATAAAGTGCTGCTAGGCAAATCTCGTTGTCATGCAGCACAGTGGATGAATCTGGCACATACCTGATGATATGCGATCAGAAGTAGTATTCTATAGCGGTGCACTGCAGATACTTGGGGGCCAAATAAGCAGGCCCTTCCTAGAACTCCCTGATGTTTCATCGACAATGGCATTAATGAGGGCTGCAGAAAACATACCAGGAATTACTTCCTTGATGGTCACAGAAATACCAATAAATGACCCAAATTTTCAGGGAATACAGCGCAGAGCTATGCCAGACATGATTGACTAGCAGTGCAATCAAAACATTTATTGACTTGGAACTTAACAACTGCATTCTACGACTTATTGAAGCAACCCCAGAACTTGAAGAGAATACAGTTCAATATGGCATAGTGAGCCGACAGCATCACCAAGTAGATGCTATGCCTCAGTAGGGCCATTTCATCTTTAATCTTTTTTCAGTGAGAACAATTGACAATAGAACCAAACATGTATTGTTGCAAGTAAAAGAGGTCTATTGGTTTCTGCACTGTCTTTTCAGCTGGGCATGACTAAATTTTGGTCAGACCCTTCTGGATCATCCATCCTCTCCCTGTTGAAATCAGCGCAAATGAGTGGTAAAAGTAGACCGGATCACCAAAGGCCCCATATGATATGACATGAGCATCCATCATCCACTGATATACTTACACTGAAACATATTTGTTCAGCAGAGAATTCTAAATAAAGACAAAAACAGTGTCTTTCTCTCTGTTCATTGTGAACTTTACCAGCTTCAATAAACCTTCAAGCCATACACCACCCAAGACACCACAACTATGAGTATTTGTCGAGTTTGGTATAGGCACCAATGTGGTTAGAAACTAAGAATCAGGCTTCCTGACCCTCGTGACCATACTACTGAATAGAAAGAGCATCGTTTGGACTACAACGGATTCTGTTATGATGAAGAATGTTCCGCCTTGACTCCAAATGTACTCATGAACAAGTCCAGACAGTAATGATCAGGCAGGCATTGGCCCAGAGTCAAGTCCGAGAAACAGCCGAGCTAGCATCAGAACTTCGGAAGGGTATCCATGAACGCTGCAGAATGAAGAACGAGGCAAGACCCTGAAAACAGAGGCTGCCGTATACCATGGATATCATTAAAAAACATCTGGATGATTGAAGATGTTTTCATCATTGTATTTCTGTGTAGTGTGCACTCATGAAGCTGCTGCATCGTTTGCTGTCGAGTCTTGATGACTTTGGTGGTTGCTTGATTTGAGATTTTCGCCAAGGACAGATATCGGGCCGTACACCTGGTCAACACTGACAAACCATCTCGGGTTGCCCTTTCGACTTCTTGACATCCAGCTACTTTGGTGGATGCTTTCTGTACTGTTGAGCTTTGAAAACAAAGTTCATCACAACATGAACCAAGAGTAATGGTCTACTTCTAGTTTGCAATGTGGAAGTAATGCTGCAGAGTTCCAAGTTGGCTAGCTTGAGTCGACGGCGAGTGTTTTTTTTTGTGGCATCAGGTGATCGCCAGCCTGTTTTCTTCCTCTTTAAAACCCAATAAATATTGGCTATTACTAGGGGGATTTAATTATGTTCAGGACTTTATGCTCTCTTTCTCTTGGTTTTTGTGGTAGTGCTTTGAGGGGGCCGTGGCAGCTGACTTGCCATTTGTACAGGGATGTGCTCACCATGACGTCCGGGACTTGTTTGAAAGACGTTTGAAGGATACGTAAAGCTATTCTATGAGCCCCAGGTTAAACAGAAATAAGTCTTCTCAGCAGTGCACTCTCTCGCTATGGAAGTGACCAGAACTATGACATTAGCATGGGCATGAAGGTGGCTATTGGTTGCGGGGGAGTATTAAATGAATGGACAAAGGACACTCCATTCATCAGGTCGACATGGCTTCAAATGCTACCTTGGTAGGATCCATACCTGAAGTGATTGACAGCGACAAGCAGAAAAAGTCAATCTTTCAGCATCTGGTGCCTTTGTCATATTCTGTGGAGAGACGTCTCTTGTTCAAAATTGATGTGTCGGTCCTCATATTTGCTTCGGTCCGTCATTTTCTCTATTCTCACAGAGGATTCTGACACCCTGGAAGCTGGGATATTTCATCAAGAATTTGGACCAAGTGAGCATAGTATGGCCTTGCAGGAGAATGTTCTCTAATCAAATCTCCATGCAGAGCAATGTGTCCAGTGCAGTGAGCCATGTGCTTCACATGGAATCTCTTCTCAGCACTGAATTTTGAATATCTGTGCAGTACTTTGCTGGAATGCATGAAGACTTGTAAGCCGACAATCTCTTTTGGCTGTTTTGGCTCTCATGAACTTGCATGGTTATTATGAGTGGAACAGTCTGGAAGTCTGCCCTGGTGGTAATCGAGGTGGGGCCACCCATCCTGCTAATGTACTTGAAGTATTAGAGTCATTTTAGTAATGGAAAGTGGTCAGGTTGAATGTACTAACCTCATTGCAGGATCCAGTGCTCAAGAAATACCACATGACAGTGGTGTTATTCATATTAGAAATAGAGTGACACACTGATATTACTGTCATCCTAGGAGCAACTGGACTGAAGTAGTGCTTCTCTTGGCATCAGTGTCATCGCATTCCCACTGTTGATCATGTCGGTAATGATGCTATTTCCTCCTTCATAAGGAAACACCAGTGTCAGAACTATTACTGCAATACCTCTAGCTTCAGTAAGATAACCATCAGGAGAAGACTCGAAGCTAGCTGTACAGTCTGCACAGACTGTAGCCCAGCTGTGCCAGAAGCATCAATAACAGAGAACATAGAAGATGATGATAGACACTCACAGAAGGAGACCACCTTAGAGGTCATCACCAAATGCATAGTCATCAGCATTTTCTTTGACTTCAGTGGTCTTGGTGTTGTAAGGAGAGGTCTCCTCAATGGCAGTGATGAGGTCTTGGTCAAAGAATGCTTGGCCTGTGTGTTTTTTAGTGATTGGATGAAAGAGGAAGCAATATAGTAAGTCTTACCAATGTGTTGGGTTCCTCCTATGCAAAGCATGCCATTAGCATGGAATATGATATGGATGTCATTAGTCTACCCATAGCACTGTCCTTGAGGAGCTGTCAGTCTATGAAGGAGAGGAGTAGATAGGGAAGAGACATTCTCAGAAATACATCTTGAACTGAGCATATCCCTTGTTGTTTGTGGGCTGGATACTCCAGAGGAAGGTTGTATTATAATGATCCAAAGTCAGGATGGATGAAAAGGTAAAAAGAATTGCTAACTGACACAGTTATTCTCATCACTATGACCACCATTGCCTTCCACAACTCTTCTAGAGTAGACACCAACAGTGTTACAATTCCACAAGCCTAGATGGATACTAACGGTTATGGATTGCAAGTTGAGACATATATTAGCTCAATATCGATGTATCGGACATTCTGGGTTGGTCTTTGTTTATGGCCAGTCAGACATCATGGGTGAGACTTGCAAGGATATGATTGGGAATGGTGGTTTGAGTTTTTGTGTATAGATAGAATTAATAAATGACCAGTGTTTATCAGCAAGACAAGATAATACTAGAGTGTGCTTCAATGGATTTTTAGGTATGGTCAGGACCTATAATCTATTGAAATCATTGTTATAGTGAGCACTTGAGCACAAGTAGAATGAATGAAGATTGTATTCAATGTGCCAGAATACAGTCATATTTAAATGAAAATGCATAGTCCATAACATAGCTAAGTATCAAGTATCATAGATATATAAGTATTAAGGGAATAATTGCTATGGAAGCAAATGGAGCTGTGCTCAAGAGTACAAGAGAGTACAACACTGGTTGGACCTAGTTATCATATCTGCATACTAATCCATCAATCCATCAAGTTTGCTTTATGCCAACATTCAGCTCAGCTTGTATTCCAACACTGTGGATTTACCCAATAAATCCACCAAATACTTCAAGGTATTTGACTTACTGAAAATACCAATGGACTGCAGCAGTGACTAGGGAGCATACAATTTTGTGGTCCATCATCAATTTTTTATATCATGCACTATTTCCATTCTGGGATGGAGTAGGGAGCACATCCCGTCCACAGTACATGACTGAATCTCGAAATATGGCCATTCTTGTGTTTTGGAATCTATGTAGGGCTCACATTCAGTCTACGGTACATGACCAAATCTCGAAATATGGCCATTCTTGCCATTTAGAATCTTGTAGGGCTCGCATTCAGTCCATGGTACATGACCGAATCTCTAATTATGGCCATTCTTGTCATTTAGCAACTGCATAGGTAGCATGTACAGTCCATGGTACATGACCAAATTTCGAAATACAGCCATTCTTGTGTTTTGGAATCTACGTAGGGCTCACATTCAGTCTGCGGTACATGACCAAATCTCTAATTATGGCCATTCTTGTCATTTAGATTCCATGTAGGGAGCGCATTCAGTCCACGGTACATGACTGAATCTTGAAATATGGCCATTCTTGTCATTTAGAAACAGAGTAGGGCTCGCATCTGCTCCGCAGTAAATCACCAATTTTCACATGGAGAGCAGAATACAGCCCTCATTAAGAAATCTTGGGTACAAAATAACATTCAGTATGCTACAGATTTATTTTACATTTTGGGAATCAATGTACACTAGGTATAGCAACGACTATAGTATGGTATGGAAGTCTACATTGTCAAGATATGTGGTCGGCAAGTATGCTACAAGAATATAACAATGCTAAGTACAAAAGAATGTGGCAATTATCAAGAAGAAATCAACAGCTATGGTTGTGTCATCAAAAGAAAGTGTTCTGTGCTCCTGCGAAACATCAGAGGTAATTTGGTTCTGTAGAATGACGAAACTCATGTTACAGCATCTCATCTCCCAGCCAGTGGAGTTTGTACTGGGTAGTTGTTCTTCCAGTGTGGTCCTCCCATTGCATTTGTCCACAGGGTGAATGGTCGCCAGTACTGCTGACTGTGCAGTGGATTGCCCACACCCTAATTCCTGAACTCGCACCCCGGATCGTCCGATGAAGGTTGGACCCATGATCCAACTCCCTGATCTAAAATTAATAAGATCATGACAGGTGCATATGGCACTTACAGAAGTAGCCAGTCCATCAGCATATACCCCAACTGCGCTCTGACCTCCTGCTCTTGCGCCCTTACACATTCCACCAGATCCGACTTGAACATCACCAATTGCACGTTGCTTTGTCTCCGAGCAATGCTCCAGTTCATCCAAAGGTCGATCTTCATGGTGTGGATTTAGCATCAAGGTTGGAGATTGTGATCGGCTGGCAGGGGAGATGGAAGATGCGTGGATTGTGCCAGAGGGCGGGAATAGACGTTGAGCGCAAGGGGTGGGGGAGCGAATGCGGAAGTAGAGAATCATGATCAAACGATATTAAGTGCCCACGGCATGTTGATGTTGATGCCGCCAGCTATCAATTGATGATGAAATCGATCGATCAGATAAAAGATAATTGAGTGGCTGTATGATATGATTGAACATTCGGCAGGGTGCATGGCACAATGGCCAAAAAGTAATTTGTGCAATCAAAGCTATAATTGCATTAAATATATGGTAGTAAAATTCAGTTTCCCCTGATGTATTGAGGCATACAATTATTTTTTTGAATACGTTCCACATTGATAATCACTGAACATGTCTGAATCTTTTCCCTGAATATTTTTTCAAAAAACTGCGGTAACTGCAGTCATTGATTGATCGGGTTCCTGGAAAAGAAGAAGCTGGATAAGGAGGTACATATACCCAAGTATGGTTAATTACACTTCTTATCGAATATGTTTCCAGACGTCTCGATATTGATCTTTGACGTTGATGCATCTAGAATCAAAGAAAAAAAAATTTAATCTCTATGAGGTAAACCCCGCCATCAGCATTGAGCTTCGTATGCCACAGCGCCATATATATAGGGCATGGGCGTCGCATATATTTTATTCTTTCTTTCCCCCCATAAAAAAGTTGATTCTCACTCTGCCATTCAGCACCACTGCTCATCTTCAAAATGCCTCGCATTGTACAGAAATCTCGTGCTCTATTTCCTGCCATTTTTGCCTCATATCCTGACCTGTTCAATGAGGAAGCATGGCAGCAGCAATTTGGATTCCCCGGGTTTGACGCAGATCACATCTCGAATGTAAAAAATGAAGAGCTCCCTGCAGTCCGTGAGTTTCTGAAGCATGTCGGAAATCTCCCCTTGGACAAGGCTATAACTTGCATCAATACGAAGGGTGCCGATGCGTTTCTCCAAGGCCATACCACATACCACCACTGGTGGTCGAAATCGCACATGGTGTCAAAGCTCATAATCATGCACAACCATGCTATTCTCCATGCTGGTATCAACATCAAGGCAATGTATTGGGTAGCTGCAAAGAAAGGGAATGCAAAATTCATCATGCTTATGATGTTTGGATCAAAGGAGGCAGAGATTGCAGAAAGCATGTTTGGCAGAGCATTTGAGGATAATGAGTCGGGTTGTATGCGAGAGGAGTTCCAGCAACTCATCCACTCATTGATATTGGACTACATTGAACGTCAGCGCAAGAATCACTGCCAGGCAGAAACATGCAGACTTGAGGCGAAGGGGGAACTCGATGCCATGTGGAAATGTGTGTACTCTTTATATCTATTTTGTTTCCTACTAAAATTGTCAGTGTTTGAATCTGGCAATGGCCAAATCCACCTGAAAGATGCAAAGAAGATCTCAAACACTCTTGAGAAATATGAGAAGTACATTGGTTGGGAGGCAACGGAGCAGGATAAGGCTGCATTGGCAGAATATGAGCAGAGGAAGGGCAAGTTTGAACAGGTGCTTTCGAAGGCAGAAGCTCAGGAGGAGGAGTTGAAGAAAAACAAAAAGAGTTCACAGTGTAAGTCCCTCATTTTATGCAGTGCTCTGCATATCTGACATATGTTGCAGACATCCTTGGACGTATGATGAATCGAAGAATCGCTGTTATGGCCACTGAAGAGGAAATAGCAGTGCTCCATGAGGACCTTGCTTCTCGGCTCGAGAGCATTGAAAGCACACGCAATAGGGAGGAGGCTGAACAACATGACATCGACATCAATCCGGGCCTTCCTTCACACCCTGGTCTTATTGGGTGGGAGAAATGGAAGGAATGTGGGGACCTGGGGGTAGAGTCTTGGTCAAAAACTACTGATAAGGTGCTTGCTGAAATGCTTCGATGGGACAATGGCTGTCCCGATGAATTTAACCCATTCATTAACACTTCCCTCACCGATTACTGGGAAAACCCTGACTATGCTGCCAAGATTCCTCCTGGTGGTGATGAAGACAATGAGGTGATGAACATCATGTGGCATCAAATTGTTGGTATAACAGCAATGGTGAACATGCTATGGACGACAAAATTGGATGATGATGGTGTCCCAGGAATCCTCCTTGCTGATGAGGTGGGTCTGGGCAAGACTGCCCAAATGATGGGATTGCTGGCATTTATAATATCATGCTATCGGGCACAGAAGCTCAGCAAGGAACTGCCCCCAGTGCTCGGTGAGTACGGCCCAAGTAGGGAGCCCCCTTGTTTTGTGGTCCCATACATCCAGTATTAACTATAATATTCCAGCACAATTGCCATATTTCTGTGGTCATAAACAGATTCCTGATGTGCCACATCTCATTTTGGTCCCTGGGACCATTATAGAGCAGATCGTGGGTGAGTTGAAACGGTGGTTCCATCCTCATGTCATCGACATTTTTGTAATGCCGACGATGGAGCAGAGATGGGACGAGTTCAACAAGGCCATTGATTCATCGAAGCAGGACAAATGCAACATTGTGATCGTTGCAAGCCATAGTGTAAGCATTGGGTTATTCACTCCAGTTTAGCTCACTGATAATGAATTTCAAATGGGTTTCAGAGTGTCAGTCAGTTAGCACATCGCAATTTGTGGATCACAAAGTCTAAGACTGAATTGGTGTCTTCTCTGCATCCTGCTAAGACAAATTCATTGGATTATGAGCCAATATGGTCAAGGAGTTTCTGCAGTGTCATCGTCGACGAAGCACACAACTTCCGGACACCAAATGCTGCCTACCATGGTATGAATAGAATTATGGAAAATACCTGCATGCGCCTAATTGTGTCAGCAACTCCGCTGTACCAGTCACCTTGTGTATGCCTTTTTTGTGGTTTTCATTCTGATTCTGATTCTTGCTTCTTTCTCATTATAATATCAGGACCTAAGCAACCTCGCAAGACTTATTTGTTTGAAGGCATTCATAGGTAAGGCAGCTGAATCACTCGAGAAGGAGAAAGTCAGAGAGCTGTCAAAGATGTGGAGGGATGTCACCAAGGGCAACAATGGCAATGACGATGCTCTCGCCATGTTCAACACGAATGCCTTGAAGGGTGTTGATGGTAGAAATCCATACAAAGGGGTGTACGATGCTAACAATGACTGGATCATTGACATTCAGGCTCGCTATGAAGGATGTATCATTCGATGGGCAGTAACATCAATCAAGTACACTGACCCCCCAGCTGACAAGCCTATCATGCTCTTGAATGAACTCCCACCATACGAAAAGATTGAAGTGATGGTAAGCATGGCAGATGCTGAGAAATGGGAGATGGACAACCAGATGTCGAAGTGGAGCAGTGAGTGAGTACAGAAAAAAATTGTACCGGGATCATGGATCTGATGCACTCTTCTTCTAGTTCAAAGGCACATGGAGCTGTTGATGTCATGGATGCTGGGGTAAGTTATTGTGTGATCACAGGGAGCCCTTCCACTTCACGGTACATTACAATTTTGCCATTTTGCTCATTTTTCTCTTAGGTATTTTTGCTCAATTACCAGCTTGCCATAGCATATCCACAATCTCAACGTGATCCTGACTATCTGTCGAAATCTGGCAAGAAAAAGTTTCCACCATTCAAAAGTCTTGAAGAGTGGGAAAAGTATCCAGGAGCAAAGCTTGAGGTGACATTGAGATTGTGCAAGCACTATTTGTCTGATGACAATGCATCTCCACCATATATCAAAGACGGTCACCTCATTTTCCCTGATCCTCCTGCAATGGCAACCGGCAATAAGAAGAAGAGGACTCAGCAGATAAAGATCCTTATCTTTCATGAGTTCCCTATGATGGATGAACTCATCATGTCGGTATGTAATTTGAATCTTTCTTCTTATTATTTGCATACTCATTTTGTTCAGGCCTTCATTATGAATGGCATTAAAATCTTGTCACTGAATGGCTCCATGAGGCTCATGGCATGTCAACAGGTGGTTGAGAAATTCCTTCATCCCGATTCAGATGTTCGTGTGCTTCTCCTCAGCCAGATAGGTAGCTCTGGGCTTAACCTGATGAGAGCTTCTGTCATCATCCTCTTCGTAAGTTTCAGCATCATTGCTAGTTGACATTCACTGACTGAGATCCCACAGGATATTGGTTGGACTGCCATTCAAGAAGAACAGATGATTGGTCGTGCCCATCATCATGGGCAAAAGGAAACCATTTACGTCTTTCGCCTTATTGCGACAGACACTATTGACGTCTTGATGGCTCAACACTCTGGTTCAAAAGCCCAGCAGCTTCAGCATTTCTTCAAGAAGCCTGATTTTAATGTCTGTTGAAACAGGAGTAAGTCCCTTTTACTTTTGGATAATGATGGTTTATTCATATTTTTGCAGAGGCATTCTGGCTGCTGTACAATTGTGATGTACCAGCAGATGCTCCTGCTGCAGCTGATGGAGAAAGCGATAACGACGATGATCAGAGCACCCAGGAAAGTGCCGTTGAACAGCCTCCTGCAAAAAAATGCAAGACAAATAGCAAGAAAACGGCGAAAACAAAGGAAGTAGATGTCATCAATGAATCCCACCATCATCGTAAAGTGCCAAAGAAGGTGCCAGAGGATGGAAACAGGGAGGGAGCTCCTGCCACCAAGGTACAGATGATGATGCAGAGAGGATCTGTAGATGAGGCTGGACCATCGAAGGCTGGACCATTGAATACCCAGTCAAAGCCCAAGCCCAAGCCCAAGCCCAAGCCTATCACAAAGCCAGCACTGAGCGCACCACAGAATCCCATCAAGGAGGGTAATGCACAACCTGCTCAATGTGAATCTCAGCCCTCGGCCCCCTCCGCTCCATCATCCCCTCTTCCTCATCCTGTCATCCCTTCCTCCACCCCTGTAGTTATACCACCACCAGAGCATGGAATGACTGCCATCACTGCCCCCTCCAGCAATATTATCTCGACACCAGATGCTAATGAACTAATTAGCAATGATGAGATAGAAAGCTATGGGGGCACTGCTAGTGGTGGTGCTTCACAACCTCTCGATGATCTTCTTGACTTCGATGACCTAACTCCTCTGTCTTCCAATGCCCCCTCATCTCCATCAACACCAACCCCATTGCCTGGCAGGAAGAAGTCCATTTCAACTGCACCAACAGGTAAGTTGAATACTCAGTCAGGAATTCCAGAGTCATCGCAGAGAAGAGGAACGAGAGGAATGTCAAGGACATGATCTCAAGCAGCCAGGTCAAAGGATACTGCTAATGCAGCTCCACAGACTCTGCAGGCAAATTTCGTGATTGAACGGAACGGATCATTCAGGCCTAATATGCAAGAACCAGCACAGAGACATTGAGGTCATTTGTGGGTGGCTTTCTTGACATTGCTTCATTGGCAGTTTGATGTATTTTTTCAAGAACAATTTTATATAGTTTCATATTGCAGTTAGTATGACAAATTTTTGTAATGTATACATTTCATGTCACTAAATATACAAGTGACAATTGGTGAAAATATCCTGGAACTGAAAAGGATGGGTCCCCTGCACTTCACAGTCCCATACAATTTTTTTTGCATTACCAAGAATTTGACATGACAAGAAATTGTGCTGTCAATGTCATGTCCAGCTGAATGTCTTCGGAAAAATAGAGAAATTTTTCATGTGGCGCTCTGCTTTGTTAGTATAAAGTAGATGCAAACAGTGATATCACCCACCTACTTTTCCTCTTTAGCATGAACTCTGACCAGGATGATGACAGTTTCTTTCAGGGATCGGGACATACAAGTAGCTTGTTCACTGACAATGAAGACCAGGCAGAAGCAGGAGGAGCAGAAGAAGCAGGAGCAGAAGAAGAAGAAGAGGATGAGTACAATGATGAGGATCAACATCGTGATGGTATGCATATCACTGGAAAGTAGCCATTGGTCTAATCAGGCATCTAGTATCCTGGACACCTCCTTCTGCTAGTGCCATTAGACACTGGATATCTCGTCAAAGCAGGTGCCCTGAGTCCACCCATATTCACAATCATCGTCGACGACATCATCGACATCTAGAACAGAGGGATGAAGAGGATGATGCTCATGGATCATCCTGTCGAAGCCGGTGCCCCAAAATCACTGCTAGTGATGAGGAGGATCATCATCAGAGACGTCGTCGCCATCCAGAACAGAGGGATGAAGAGGATGATGTTCATCAGTCATCCTATCGAAGCATCCCTGGGCCAGCCTCTAGTGATGAGGATGATGGACCTCTGCATCATCGACAAGGAGAAATCAGATATGGAGAATGGGATCCAGATGATGATATTGATGGGAATAACATTTGCATTCGGGGTGTCCACACATCAAGAGATGTCACATTGGGGGAGTTTGTTCAAGAATGTAGTCAACTTTGGATGCATCAGAATGTTTCAACAAGGAGCATCGCATGTCGTGGAAAGTATCTCCGCTATGTATTGTGTGGGGAATATGGCAAGGATCATTATATCAATCTCACCATGGCTGGAGCTGACCTGCCAGAACCAAAAGTGACATTGACAAGAGACTATGACTCGGTCATTGCAATCTGTGATCATGTTCCAGATCTGGGAATGCCGATTGAGTTTGCTACTACATATCAGCCGACGATGTCAATGCAAGGTGGTATTAATATCCAAGCACCCTTCAAAATTGTCAATCCACAGAATGGCGAGGTAGCATTTATCATCTAAATGTCAAAGTCTATGCTAAAGCTGATCATATGTAGCTCACAACAAATCCCATGGATCCAGGATGTGTTCCAAATGTCTTCCTTGCCAAAGTCACCCATCATGCATCGTTATATATCCTGCTACTGAATTTGGTTCGAAATCTCAAACAGCATGAGGGAACCCCTTCAGTTTCCATCCAGGAGTATGCTGTGCTTTATGAAATATTCATCCAATCAGCAGTATGTTATCAGGATATGACAGCGGCTCGTCTTCCTGCTACCTACAGTTCAAAATTGTTTCAGGCAGGAAGTGGGCAGAGTCATCAGACAAGAAAGCTAACGGAGTTGATCCCTAGTGAATATGTGGAGCGATTGCTAGGAGATTTCAGTGAACAACTGGAGCACCATTCAGATGGATGGGGGATCGGGCACCGTTTTTTGCTTCAGTGGCAAGGGATCAAGGCATTGACAGTGCATGACCCAAGCAATGCAACCAAGCGAGAATACTTTCTGCACCAGGACCATGTATTCAATGCTGACATGTTCAGTACTCCTGGTGATGATGTCTTTGTCGATGTTGCACTTGAACTGTCTGTGAAGGAGGGAGCAGTTATGTGGTGCTCTGATGGCCATGCAGTCGCGCTACAGAGACTACTGCAAATGCATCAGACTGAAGCCAACAAGTGGACGTGTTTTGGTTACTACAATTACAAACAGGATACATGTGCACACCTCACCTCTGTCGCAGGATATCACATCACAACACATATCACACCACTCAGACAATTCAATGCAACCTTTGTCCAGATGTACACAACCGATAAATGCCTTACCTATGACATGCGGGCAAGCAATAATGCCAAGTTCGTTACAGCAGTTAATCTGATGAAGAAGTCAAAGTACACATACAATGAGTTTCTTGGGAAATTGTATGGTGTCTTCACAGATGCAGCATGGCATAATGATGTACATGCACGGATTGAGGCACAAGTCCCACTGGCTAATGCAGAAGATGTGTTCGCAGATGTGCCAGTTGCGAGTTTCTCGGATCTGGTGTATTGTGTTCCACGACAAGACTGGTGGTGAGACCATTTCTAGAAGCTATGTAATGATGAGGATCAGGGCTAATAGTATCCACAGGCAATTTAAATCTGCCAGAGCTCTCGGATTTGCGACATTGATCCAGTGGCAGAATGAAGAGCACAACATGGACATGCGACACTGTTACTATCCAGTCATTCTGACATGTCTCATCGCATTTATGGTCAATTCACTTCATGCATGGCCAGAAGAGTGATCAGGACACAAGATGTTGATGCATGCCATCTGGCCATGAATGTACTGGCAGGAAGATCATCACATGATCCTTCCATGCACACAAAAGAGAGATGGGACAGATGAGCCAGGACCATATGCAGAGGGAGGACTCTGGTGGATTCCGAGCAGTGTGATTGCATGGCCAACATGAAATGGAAGTGGTACAAGAATACCACGATGCGAGAGTGTCATCCAAGTGCCCAGTGAGGCAGGTTGGAATTTGTTGGGCATTAGAAAGACGCTGAATGAGTTCTGTTCTGAAGATAGTCGCATGAAGCAGCGACAATTGGTGGAACGGAAGCCAACAGGCCAGGTCATAGGATGCATGAGGAAAGCCAAGGGTTGACCTGAGGAGCCAATGCCAAAGACAGAAAGGCTAGCTCGACAGATAGAAATGCCAGAAAAATCATATGATTATGGGCCCAAAGAGGGCATTTGATAAATTCCTGTGGTGTGCTTGGTCTGATAGCACATGGGTGTGTGTTTATGAGAAGTTGGGAGAGGAACTGATTAAACCAGAATGAGTTCAAAAAGAGGATCTACCATGTTCAGCAGTCCGTCTCATCCGGAATCCATGGATAGAGAACTGGAGATTTGATATTATGAGTGGCCACATGCCAGCATTGCAGAATGTTGAGAAATGGGGGGATAGGGAGGATGAAGAGAAAATCATGGTGATAATTGAGAGGGAAGAAAGAGAGAAGCAAAAAGAGATGGACATGCAGAAAAGAGAAGATTGCATTCTCTGAGAGCGCAGAGAAGAAGAGGAATCATCAGAGGATGAAGCAGAGCCAGACATCAGAAGGCAAATAACAGATGAAAGGGAACCAATCACTATGGAAGGGAACCAAGGGATGCTGCTGGGGGAGCCCATTGTGTCGCTCACTCAGCATCGAAATTGACAAAGGGAGAAGGGGAGCAAAAAAAGATGTTGGAATACAATGTCAATGAAACACATATTCTGACCATTTCAGAGTATATTGACAAAAGACGTGATATCAAATTGAACAAATTGTTATGGTGCTATTCTCACTCCGACAGATGAAAAGCAGCCTGCAAAGAAAATTGGTCATGCACCATGGACTGCACGCATGCCATACACAGAATCTAAAACACCAGAATGGACATATTTCGAGAATTGGTAATGTACCACGGACTGTATACGCTCCCTATGCAAATTCTGAATGGCAAGAATGGCCATATTTCGAGATTCGGTCATGTATCATGGACTGAATGTGAGGTCTACAAGATTTTAAATGTCAAGAATGGCCATATTTTGAGATTCGGTCATGTACCGCGGACTGTACACACTACCTATGTGGAATCTAAATGACAAGAATGTGCATATTTCGAGAATTGGTCATGTACCGTGGACTGTACGCGCTACCTACACCATTTCTAAAACACAAAAATGTGCATATTTCGAGATTCAGTAATGTACCACAGACTGTACATGCTACCTACGTGGAATCTAAATGACAAGAATGTGCATATTTCGAGATTCAGTCATGTACCGCAAAACAAATGCGCTCCCTATGCCCATGTCATATGCAAATGGCCATAGACTTGATGTACTGCGAAACAGACATGCCCCCTACCAAAGTGCATGGACCATGCACAAGAGGGACCGCTGTGAGTTCATGGTACCAGCCTGTGCATGGTCCATCCACAGAGCGAGGCATCCATCGCATTTCACGGTCCCACCACTGCTGTTCTGTGTACCGCCATTGGTTTAAACCCTAACTTAGGGTTGCTTCTGAGGTTCTTCCGAGCAATCCATGTACCACCTACCTATAAGCATCAGCCATGGTGAGATTGATGTAATGATCCTTGCCATATTCTCCACACAATACATAGCAGAGATACTTTCCATGACATGCGATGCTCCTTGTTGAAACATTCTGATGCATCCAAAGTTGACTACATTCTTGAACAAACTCCCCCAATGTGACATCTCTTGATGTGTGGACACCCCGAATGCAAATGTTATTCCCATCAATATCATCATCTGGATCCCATTCTCCATGTCTGATTTCTCCTTGTCGATGATGCAGAGGTCCATCATCCTCGTCACTAGATGCTGGCCCAGGGGTGCTTCGATGGGATGACTGATGAGTTTCATTCTCTTCATCCCTCTGTTCTGGATGGCGACGATGTCTCTGATGATGATCCTCCTCATCACTAGCAGTGATTTTGGGGCACCGGCTTCGACAGGATGATCCATGAGCATCATCCTCTTCATCCCTCTGTTCTAGATGTCGATGATGTCATCAACAATGATCGTGAATATGGGTGGACTTGGGGTGCCTGCTTTGATGAGATCTCTGGTGTCTAATGGCACCAACAGAAGGAGGTGTCCAGGATACTAGATGCCTGATTAGACCAATGGCTACTTTCCAGTTATATGCATACCATCATGACATTGATCCTCATCATTGTACTCATCCTCTTCTTCTTCTTCTGCTCCTGCTTCTTCTGCTCCTCCTGCTTCTTCCTGGTCTTCATTGTCAGTGAACAAGCTACTTGTATGTCCTGATCCCTGAAAGAAACTGTCATCATCTTGGTCAGAGTTCATGCTAAAGGGGAAAAGTAGGTGGGTGATATTGCTGTTTGCATCTACTTTATACTAACAAAGCAGAGTGCCACATGAAAAATTTCTCTATTTTTCCGAAGACATTCAGCTGGACATGACATTGACAGCACAATTTCTTGTCATGTCAAATTCTTCATAATGCAAAAAAAGGCATGAGTTCTGCTGGCTAATGTGGAAGATGTGTTCACAGATGTGCCAGTTGCGAGTTTCTCAGATCGACCCAGTGGCAGAATAAAGAGCACAACATGGACATGTGACACCATTACTATCCAGTCATTCTGACATGTCTTGTTGCATTTATGGTGAATTTGCTTCATGCACAGCCAGAAGAGTGATCAGGACACAAGATGTTGATGCATGCCATCTGGCCGTGAATGTACTGGCAGGAAGATCATCACATGATCCTTCCATGCACACAAAAGAGAGATGGGACAGATGAGCCAGGACCATATGCAGAGGGAGGACTCTGGTGGATTCCGAGCAGTGTGATTGCATGGCCAACATGAAATGGAAGTGGTACAAGAATACCACGATGCGAGAGTGTCATCCAAGTGCCCAGTGAGGCAGGTTGGAATTTGTTGGGCATTAGAAAGACGCTGAATGAGTTCTGTTCTGAAGATAGTCGCATGAAGCAGTGACAATTGGTGGAACGGAAGCCAATGGGCCAGGTCATAGGGTGCATGAGGAAAGCCAAGGGTTGACCTGAGGAGCCAATGCCAAAGACAGAAAGGCTAGCTCGACGGATAGAAATGCCAGAAAAATCATATGATTATGGGCCCAAAGAGGGCATTTGATAAATTCCTGTGGTGTGCTTGGTCTGATAGCACATGGGTGTGTGTTTATGAGAAGTTGGGAGAGGAACTGATTAAACCAGAATGAGTTTGAAAAGAGGATCTACCACGTTCAGCAGTCTGTCTCATCTGGAATCCATGGATAGAGAACTGGAGATTTGATATTATGAGTGGCCACATGCCAGCATTGCAGAATGTTGAGGAATGGGGGGATAGGGAGGATGAAGAGGAAATCATGGCAATAATTGAGAGGGAAGAAGGAGAGAAGCAAAAAGAGATGGACATGCAGGAAAGAGAAGATTGCATTCTCTGAGAGCACAGAGAAGAAGAGGAATCATCAGAGGATGAAGCAGAGCCAGACATCAGGAGGCAAATAACGGATGAAAGGGAACCAATCACTATGGAAGGGAACTGAGGGATGCTGCTGGGGGAGCCCATTGTGTCACCCAGTCGGCATCAAAGTTGACAAAGGGAGAAGAGGAGCAAAAAAAGATGTTGGAATACAATGTCAATGAAACAATTATTCACATATTCTGACCATTTCAAAGTATATTGACAAAAGACATGATATCAAATTGAACAAATTGTTATGGTGCTATTTTCACTCTGACAGATGAAAAGCAGCCTGCAAAGAAAATTGGTCATATACTGCAGACTGCACACACTCCATACACAGATTCTAAAACACCAGAATGAACATATTTCGAGAATTGGTCATGTACTGTGGACTGTACATGCTACCTACATGGAATCTAAATGGCAAGAATGGACATATTTTGAGAATTGGTCATGTACCACGGACTGTATGCACTACCTATGCCATTTCTAAAACACAAAAATGTGCATATTTTGAGATTCAGTAATGTACCACAGACTGTACATGCTACCTACATGGAATCTAAATGACAAGAATGTGCATATTTCAAGATTCAGTCATGTACCATGAAACAAATGCACTCCCTATGCCTATGTCATGTGCAAATGGCCATAGACTTGATGTACCATGAAACAGACATGCCCTCTACCAAAGTGCATGGACCATGCACAAGAGGGACCACTGTGAGTTCACGGTACTGGCCTGTGCATGGTCCATCCACAGAGCAAGGCATCTGTCGTATTTTGTGGTCCCACCACTGCCGTTCTGTGTACCACCATTGGTTTAAACCCTAACTTAGGGTTACTTCTGAGGTTCTTCCAAGCAATTCATGTACCACCTACCTATAAGATGTTAGAATACAATGTCAATGAAACAATTAGTCACATATTCTGACCATTTCAAAGTATATTGACAAAAGATGTGATAGCAAATTGAACAAATTGTTATAGTGCTATTCTCACTCTGACAGATGAAAAGCAGCCTGCAAAGAAAATCAGTCATGTACCAAGGACTGCACATGCTCCATATGCAGATTCTAAAACAGCAGAATGGACATATTTCAAGAATTGGTAATGTACTGTGGACTGAATGAGAGCCCTACAAGAGTTTAAATGACAAGAATGGCTATATTTCAAGAATTGGTACTATGGACAGGATGCGAGCCCTACACAGATTTTAAAACACAAGAATTGCCATATTTCGAGAATTGGTAATGTACTGTGGACTGTACATGCTACCTATGTAGATTTTAGATGACAAGAATGGGCACATTTTGAGATTCAGTAATGTACCACAAAACAAATGCACTCCATATGCCCATGTCATATGCAAATGGCCATAGACTTGATGTACCACGAAACAGACATGCCCTCTACCAAAGTGCATGAACTATGCACAAGAGGGACCACTGTGCATTCATGGTACTGGCCTGTGCTTGGTCCATCCTCAGAGCAAGGCATCCATCATATTTCACAGTCCCACCACTGCTGTTCTGTGTACCACTGTTGGTTTAAACCCTAACTTAGAGTTGCTTCTGAGGTTCTTCTGAGCAATTCATGTACCACCTACCTATAAGAAGAAGTTGTCTTTGAATTCATTGGTGGCAGTATATGTTATGGCTGCACATCATCAACACCATCCTCAATGATCTCAGTTATGTTGATGGTTAGAAATAAAGCCACAGCATTGGGTTAGGGTTCTACTTTGGGATTTCGAATGTTCGGCCTGAATGCTGGCAACCATATGCAAAGCAAAATTTATTCATTATAAAGCTCCCAGGTGTTCCCATGGTGGTCGATCATAACAGTCAGGCTATCCTGACTATGCAAATGCACTGAGTATGAGTATCATATCACTTGGAATGCTATACGGTGTCACCAACCAGGGAAGGAAGCACGAGCAACGGCATCAGAAAAGTATAGTCCATCAACGGAAGATGAAACACTTACAATAGAGGTCTTCTAAAATTATATGCAGGGCAAATTATCGCATCCAACCTGGAAGTAGGGTCCACTTGCGGCTTCTCCTACACGATCGACCTTGTCCTTATTTCCTTTCCGTGTCAGTAAATAGGCAATATGAAGCGACAGAGGTTGAAAATTCTATTTAAATTAGTTTTGGTAGTAATCCGCACGAGGGAACGCCAGGGAGTTACGAAGGCGGGCAATACACCTTTGCTTTGACAACAAGGACCCCTTCAATGGTTCTAGTTCGCAAAGTAGGATAATCGTACAAAGCGAGAATCAATCCAGGAAACATCATGATCGCACCGCGGCTTTCTTCCCCACCAAACGCCGACTTTTCCTCGTGCCGCCAGGATGGTGGACGTCATAGATTGTCCACCCAGGCCCATGCAAACTGGCGGGGTTCACCTTGGGAGGGAGGAGGGCCGCCCGGGCTGGATGCGTCACATCGTATATCGTCCGGGACTTCACCTGAATCAAGAATGAGCGGGTGATAGGGAAGGATCTGGAAACTACCGTTTCAGATGGCTTGTCCGAGTCTCTGGTATGATGTACGGATTGGATTTGGGGGAAGACAGACTTGTCTGCAGACGATTCCTTCGCCCCTACATCGATGTATAAGAGATCCGGGTAGCAATGAAAGAAAGATAAGAAAGAAACACACCAGTTCTCTCTTCACCGTCGCGTCGTTTTGGGAGAAACGAGAAATCCGATCCGTCTGCGTTCGATCCCGAAACGCCGCACTGGATCTCTCCGACGTAACGGGTTTTCATCTCTTTCATATTGGGCGAAGATTTCGAAAGTTTGCGGGAAGCTGGTGTAAGGGCATTGGCATTGTATGAATCCTTGTTGCAGAGGGGAAGTGAGCGAGGATAAAGAGCGCGAAGAGGACCGAGAGCGTACCTCACCCTGTTTGTCATAGGGCTTCGAGGCACGAGAGATAGCATTGTAAAAGCACCGCTCCTGATCGCGACCGTTGGGTCCACCGGAAAGGTTTCCTCATCGAAGAGCGAAACGCGTAGCACGACGACGACGAAACCTACGTGGAGCACGCATCGCGGTCTCGTTCTTATAAAACACAGGCTTCGGCGGAGCTACACTGAATCCGGAGACCCCATCGTCAATCTGTTCGAAGCGTCGTTTGTGTTTGATGTGAGGCACCACCGGCTGAGGATCATTCCTGGAAGATTGGATTTCATACAAGGCAGGGTTGTCATCTCGGGCTTCGAGAGGCGGCTGTCGCGTGATATCATCTTCGAGACAAGTTTGCATTCCAGGTGGAGCATAACGATCCTACGAAGATAAGCATCAGCATTCGGACGATTTACCTCACAGCGAAAGAGTACTAGAGGAGGTAGCGGCTCGGCGGGGTTTAAAAGCCATATAGCTAGTGATCAGAACCATCAGCATATCCAGCCTCGCTTTCGAGCCTCACCGAAGCGATGGAGGTCCCTCGATGGGTGCCATCGTGAAGCGAAAAAACAAAAACAAAAAAGAAGCGCACGTCAGGTGCCAGGTGAATTTCGCAGAACAAACCAAACGTAAGCACATGATCCGGTGATTTACCGGCTATTTCGACGCGTCGCGTCAGTCGCGTCCACGACCACAGGGTAGTTCCTGCCACGCAAGTCTGCCACACTGACAGGTAAGCCGCGAGTTTGGAGCAAAATCGAATACTTGGGTTTTATGATAGCATCTATGCGTTAATCCGTGATATTGAGCAATAAAAACTGGATCAATTAATGATCTGATGCTGAAAGGTCTGCACTGACTTTGATGAGACCCTCTAGACACGAGTTCGTGCGCCGCAAGTGGGAAACGTTAATGTTTTCCCAGTCAAGAATGGTGATACGATGACTCTTAGAGTGAGCGATTTCAGTGAGAATGATGATGTTGATCTCGCAGTCGCAAATGTCAGGAACGGTGACACTGCCAAGAATCTGAGGATCTCTTTCCCTGCATTCCATCCGACCTAGAGCCTCACTAGACCCAAAGGCGGCAGGATCCTCGTCCGAATAATACTCTGAAGGATGGTAGATTGAACCATGTCCAGCGAAGTAGATGATGATATTCTCGCCTTCCTGTATCTCGTAGTTGCTAGATAGACTGAGAAGTGTGCTGATGATATTATCGCAGGTGGGGGGAGAGGAATACTGCTTCTGGATATGTCGCTAACACGATGATGAACTGAGTCACCGGAAGAACGGATTGGGTTGTTGGTGGACTCGAATGTGGCTGGAAGTTGGTACCATGAAGGCACTGGATGCGGTGTTGTGGCACACGTAGGCCCTTGATTAAGTACATCTCCATTTCCTTCGCATCTGACACACAACTTTTAATGGAGAAGATTTATAGGCATCGATGCCGATGAGAACTGCCCAGAATCGAGCAGTGTCAACCCGGCCAGAGGACTAAAAGTTTAAACACATGGTGTCAGTATTGTGAAACAAAGGCAGATGAACACATATATCTGCTTACGGATTGCGAGACATTTTGCACAGAGGAGGCCATATTGGAAAGCTAGGCTGTTGCAGAGCGAGGATTAGCATCTTAAATTTGAATGCCTTTATACTGGACAGAGTCTGAGCGCCTACGGAGATACAAAGAGTACATCCGGCGAAGTCAAGGAGCGAGTGGCTAGTCCTTTTTGAGATAGCAGAATTGATCATTCGCTGAATGACAAAAAACTGAGGACAACCACTTACCTGGAAGCCATGATCATGTACAAAATGTCAAATGCTTGGTAAGATTTGATGGATCTGCTGAAAATGATGTATTAGTCGTTCCGTAGATTCATCAGATTCGTCCAAGGTACCTGTTTTGATAACTGGAACAAATTTGCCATATTATTAGAATGCTCGGATATAATCTGTGATTGCCGCTGCACTAACATTAGTCAGTGCTCTGAGATACTGGGTCGGCAGGTCAACGTGTTTCACCTTTATGTTATGGTGATTTATATAAGTAACCTTGGTAGGACTGATGTTCATTACGAATCGATCAGTCAAGAGTCACCGCAATTTACCACAAATAGGATTGGAACAGCTTTAGTTTGAAGAGAGGAGAGGTCCAACTCAGTATCCCCTTCGTATCGTTATCTGATAGTATGCTTGGTGAGGCTACCCTTTTGTGGTACTTGGTGTATCGCTTTGTCGTCCATAAGTTCGGTGGTCGTGATCGATGGTGGTGCAAAAGGTCTCAGTGCTGAGTCCTTGCCCATATGATCACCGACCGATAAGATACCATGCCGTCCACAATCTGTGCAATTGTTAAGAGAAGGGGAAACGGAATGCACCTTTTCCAGAAGAAATGAATCAAAATTCTCCCGGCCCTCGTCTGCGACATTCTTTACACTTTTCTTGAGGTCTTGAAGTATCGAGAGTGCTATATGCAAGTCATTACGCGTGTCAAAGAAAAGAAAACGAGACACCAGCTAATTGTAATGGCACCGCCACCTTCCATCTTCCATTCTCATACCCATGAGTCTATATCGTTGCGTATTCATGTCGATGGGCAAGTTTGACTCGCTGTGCAAGGAAATTGTTCAGCAATCCATCAGTTTCTTTCAGGGATGAGATCAACGTCGGTGAAACCTGATTCTATGCAGTGTTCACTGAGTCTAGACACATTGTTAAAGGGATATACATGATTCAGATACCTGGGTGAGGAAAAATTGATTGAAAGTCAGTTCATTAAAGTCCAAGGTCCAGATGAGCATTGCCGAACTGAGCAGAGCGTACGTGAAAAGACCATTTGAGCTGCGGTATCATGGAAGGAAACCTGGATATTGTGAGGAACGTAATGGAGCGAAACCAGAGAGGGATGTGGACATTTCAATTCCCTTGGGGGTCTACTGTGCGATTCAATCTTGTTAGTGACCCTATCGATTTCTTGGCGATGAACATCAAGGGACCAGAGTAGACTAGAGAAGCGAACCTCAAATGATTTAAATATGTTTTCAGTGCTATGCAGCAAGAATACCATCTTAAAACCTTTCAGAATCATATTTTCTTAGACTGATATTTCGGAAGAGATGTTGTCTGTATTGGAACGCAGTTATAAGCTTAACATTTATGAGTCGCATGTGTCAGCGCCAGCAAGACACAACATAACAACATAATCCACATTGTATGGTAGCCGCAATCAATCTAATGAAAAGTCAGAATGGTGTCCCCTGAGTATGAAATTGATAAACCTTCACTCCTCCCCTCGGCTGCTTGGCAAAGTTTCCTCTGCCCGCTCTTTTCTATGCTCCTCATGCTGGAGGACAGAACGAAGAAGTCATTTCCGTATCTGATGACAATACCGGGAGGTTCCTGATGAAGGCCTGTCTAAAGTCAATGAAAAAATCCCGCTTTAGCACTGTCGAGCACATTATAATATTTGCTGTCTGATATCAGTGAGTACGACCTGGTGCACATTGATATCCTGAAAATCGGAACATACTGGAAGGGTATGGGTCATTAGATTGCAGGGAAAAAGGAGAAGCAATGCACTAATCCCTTTCATGGTCTGAGCCCTAAACTCGATATGGCACAGAGGAAAGTGCGAATGGTGGCTGATGACATGTAAAACAAGGAGATTAGTTACTGAGCACATTTTATCCATGCACACATATACATGGTGAATGTTGGAATGTTTAACAGATTGGAACGTCCAAGTCTGTGACGAGGCCTTGGAGTTGGAGTGCATGTGAGAGATGTGAGGTACCCCACATGACGAGGAACACCAACAGTGCTTTGTCATGCTGAATAACCCACTTGTCTTGGTTGACATACCGCACAGCCAATGCTGCTAAGAGAAAGTCGCTAGAAAACTGCCAAAAGATGGGAACCGAGCTATTTTGGGACCTATAATACTAGTATCATGAAAGCGGCATGCAGAGTTATCCCGTTTGCAAGGCATCCATCCATCAATGACCATACCACCAGATTCGATTTGGATTAAATGCCATGGGTATTGCAACTTGAATCACTTGACAACTATGTGATCTGACTTGTAGAAATTGTAACTCTTGTTAATGTTATTGTTCACCTTGCTCATCTCTGTATTACTGAAGGCTGAATAAAAATTACAATACAATGTTATTAAGCAACTGAGAGAAATTGAACCACTGACAAGGAAGGGTTTACTATGGCACCACTGATGCATACTTTAAAGTACATAAGACTAGTTTTTGATAGGTCAGCTGCATAAATCATATCCAAATTTTAGCCAAGTCTTGTGATTTTTTTTGGTTTACCAGCTGTAGATTTCTCCAACGAGTGTCATGACTAGCTATGGCAACCAACAAACAAATCAACAAGTACTAATCTACATATGATTCTGAACCATACATAGACAAAAAAAGAATGTGGTGGACACTATATAAATGAGCTGTAAGTTCTACCCATTATGCATTAAGAGCTATTCAGTCGGGCTGATATCATGTTGTCGGGTCATTTTTTCGCTGACACCAGAATTGCCATTTTCGGCAAGGTCATTCATTTCCGCCCAACAGTCACCGCGCCCATGACGCTGCGTCTTTGACAACACTCCGACGGCTCTTTGGCTCTTTTACAGTACACACAAATATTTCGTTATCATCAATTCCTTCTCGTTCAAAGCAGTAAGGATCTCCTAACCTTTCTCCTGTTCGGAGTGGTCTTGACTCTTGATCCAGCCAGACAGATCTCCATGGCACGGGTCACAAGGCATTCTATCAGCTTTAAATCTCATCATAGCCAGAGAATACATGAGACAAACACTCGCAAAATGGTTCCAATTGTGAAATCAGAGGTAGAGGAAGAAGCACCGGAGGATAACATCATCCACTTTCATTCCCCGGCACCTCCGATGGGCTTGGGATGGGATCATCCTTCAGAGCTATACTACCTAGATGCTTCATCTTGGTCCAAAGATGAAATCGTCAGACATCTCATCACCAACTCGTTCTCCGTCCCTGGGCACACATACCGCTCCAAATGGGCTACTATCACCTCCAGAGATGGTGCGACGACTGTGGTGCCGAATCTGTATCGTATACCGCTGATGTTCGTAGCCCAGTTCATGTGGAGCTCGCTGCAATTGGTCCTGGGTGACGAGGAGTGGGATAGATTCAAGACCGGGATACTCTACATGTCGAGGCTATGCGAGGATTTTTTGGGCACGGCCAGAGGTGCGATGAGTGGAGAGGGTATAGGGAGGAGCTGGAGGTGTGCGACGTTTGATAGGGCGCTGATTAGGTATCGTCTGGGGTGGCTATTATCTGAGAGGATGTGTTTGAAGGAGTTTTGGGAGATGTATGGCGAGGATGCGTATCGGAAAGATGCTGTCAAATTTGGTGAGCTTTTTCTCGTTGAGTACTTTTTATACAGAAAGCTTATACGCGCAGATTGGAAACGGTTGGTTTTGAAAGGGATCAAGGGATTTAGGCTCGACGAGAAGCTGGTCGAGGGCGGAATTACGGCGACGCAGTGGATGAGTGGGCTGAAGGGACTCGGCGGTGATTGGGTGTGGGATACGAGCGCTGAATCGATTTGTACGAAGGATGCTCTGGATTATTTGGAGTCATGGAAAGGGAGCTTGCCGCCGCCGTCGAACTGTCAAACAACCCCGCTCGTTCAGATGGCAGAAAATGCGTCCACTACCGCTGATCTAAACCAGGCGTTTCCTCTATCCCCGCCATCACCAGAATTATTCCAGCTCCTGGATGTAAAGTCTCAGTCCCAAGAGCGGCGTATTGCTTTACTGGAGAGGGAGGTTGCCTTACTGAAAGGCCTGCAGGCACCTATAGTGGTCCCCGAATCCACGCCCGTCTTGGTCCCCACACCGAGCTTCGTTGACCAGGACTTGAGTAGGAATCCGTTGGACAAGTTCTCGGTTAAAGAAGAGTGCGGTATAGGAATGCAGATCGCACCGTTCTCGGCGCCAGTCAAATCCTTGCGCAAACTCTGGAGGATGGAGGCATGATTGTCGATATGTCCCATGCCATCTTTATGCAATATTTATTACTATTCATTTGGATGCACTTCCTCTTGATATTGGATCTATTGTTCTATCTGACAGTGAACACATGCTCCAATCTTTAGTCGAAGCACCGAAGATGCATATGAATCACGCATTGGGAATAGGCCCCCTCGGAGAATATCGAAAGACAAGGTTATCACTTTGAGGCTGACGGTCCGTCGACTCTTTGTTAGAACTCTTCCGTTCAATCTTTACTTGCTTGGACATTTCTCAAGCAAATATAATGCGAATTCATAATTGTGTCGATGTCCACTTAGTACACTCTAGGGAATTCCATAGTCCCAGCCCCATGATCTATACTGCATACATCTCTGAGACGATCCACTTAAATCTTTTCCAGGGCTGATACCCATGGTGTGTCTGAAAGTGCGCCCTGCGTATCAGTCTGGTGAATGCTATACGAGAACCTTTATACTTACTGTTTGCATTCCAACATCTGATTCATTCCCAGAGCCGAGTTGAACGACCTGCGAGGTACCGCTTTCAAGCCTTTTGATGTGTTCATCTCAAGAGTTCAGCCCAGTATGATCAAGGCTTAATTGCTATGTGTGCATAGAAGAAGGGCATACTTTTCCAGCAGCGAATTTATATAGACCAGTCGGGGCCCAAGAAGAGTAATCGTGTACGTTTGGGTTAAATAAATGCAGTCGCAAACCCTAAGGGGCACCTGGCTTATCGCAGACAAGACCTCACTGTACCATCATTAGCGCCAAGAGCGAACAGGTATGTCGGGTTCGTTAGACTTCTGACAAGGTAGGAGGGGAAGGTGCCACACCTGGTAGGTAATCCATATATCACAACTAACCCATATCGAACAGGGGATCATTGTCATCGTGCTGTATAATATAGACTGAGAGAACATCACACAATGAAAAGAAGCGACTGACCTCTCAAAGTTGGTGATCGGCGTGCTCTTATGCAGGCAATAGAACATCGCTCCGGGTGATGAAATAGATGAAGGGTCGTTGGGGAGAAGGCCTCATTGACTGTCTTCAGGTACGAGTCAGGGTGGATAAAGTGCAGGTATTCTCTGGATACACTCACAAAAATGCTGAGAAGACGAGATACATGTGACAGTATATAACAAGTGATGTGTTAGTCGGCAGCAGACCTCAAGGAGAATCTTTGCTCATGCATCATAGGCGACAACTGCAGTGTTTTCGTGAGACCATCACACTGAACTTCGGGGAAATATCCCCACTCACATATTCACGTATACGCATCAAAGGAGATATCAGGGATCAATGTGAGAAATAAACATTGAGAAGGGTAATGGCCTCTGAGCTATCAAGAACCGGGGCTCCACGAAAATTTCTGATTGATCATCATTCTCTTGATCTTCTGTATTTAAATTTTCAGGGGCGGAATCAAGAAATGATCCATCTTCATCTCACCATTGCCGCGCAGATGATGTCGGTTTTACAATTCTTCTGTTCATCCGAAGGTGTTTATATGGGGTGTACATAAGGCACAAGATAGCCGAGAACATTCACCAAACCTCGCCTTCGTGACTCATGGCATCCTCAAATCCACAGGCATTCCCCAGCTATCTGACAATGAGCTCAAGGTGGTGTATGGTGTCAACAGTGAATACCTGAACCAGCTCTCCATTTTCGCACTTGTTTTGGGATAATCATCTGATGTCAGAAATAGGAATACGCACCTGTGTGCTATTTTCCACATGATACATTATATGTATGTCGTTGCCGTGGAGACTTTTTCTTATATTCATTCCAGATATCTAGGCACCGGCAAAGTTTCGACTGGCTGTGCAGCTCGAAAATTCATGCTTCTTATGATCTTGCTACTGTACATACTCGCTATGCTGAACATTGGTTTTCGGTGGCGATTCACTCAATATGCATTCATTCATCAAGGCCAGACATTTTGGCCCATATTCGCTGGACTGGAGAGTGTAACTGACTATTCGGGGACTTTCCGACTGGTTGGTGGTATTATTGGGTCCAGCAGGACCCCCATTGCTGACTCTTCTATGGTATGCGTAACACCTATCACATGGTCTTTCTCTCAGATATGGCGCTGCTGGATTGTCTGGGGGCGTTGATGGTGGATAATATTGTTACCAATATTATGTACCATCTCCGGAACCAATAAGACAAACACCCTTACCCGTTTTCCATAGTAGTAATTAATATGTTGCCTTTTAGTATTTGACGCCATGTCTGTTTATAATGTCGTCGCCGATACGAATAGCAACCAAAGCGACTCAGGCTCATCTGCGTATGCGAGCAGAATTAACTGTACAACGCTTTCTTTGTCTTTTACCCTCGCTACGACCCTTCCGTGCACCCATGCTTATCATTTACCGAGTCGTGACGGTAGCAGGCAGGAAACATGGTTCTGAGATGCGATCATATCGTGGGGTTTGTCGAAATCATCGTGGAATCAGCCGCACTGTATTCGGCATCCACGATCGTTTATATGGTTTTCGTCGCCCGTAATATACTGACGAGATCATATCCGAACGTGATCAACGCCTACATCACGGTGCATCAATGACACCTGTCTCTCGTAAAGCTGTGCCGTGAAGATTGGAGTCTAATGTGGTCTTACACAGGGAATCGCTCCTACCCTCACGGTCGGATGGGTTGCTTCTGGGCACACACGTCCTTGTGAGACTTATCTTCGCTTCGTTTCGGTGCTTTTTGGTCCCCGGCCAGAGAAGGAGAGACGACAGCGACCCGGAGAATTTCAATGAGAGCCCTTCAGAGAGGCCACAAACTAGAGATGGAACGAAGCTTCCGGATAAAAAACGGCTATGCTAGTATGGCGTTGCTTGTAGACTTATTGGAACATTTGAACGGTGCAACAGGTATAAAGTAAACTACATTTTATATTACAAGTATTTTGTCCTGACCAGAACTTTCAGAACTCGGACTTGAGAGGAAATCCGTCGGAGATGCCTTGGGGCATAGAAGCGTCTGCAGAGTAACTGGTCGAAGTCGAGCCTGATATGGAGGGTAATTATCACATCCACTCTCTCCGTTCACTCTCAATTTTGATGATGATCTGTATTCACGCAAAGTCTCTGACAGATTCTACTAACCCACTTAAATCTTATCGAGCGCTAATACTCTTGGTGTCTCCGAAAGGACGCCCTACGTACATGCGTATTATCAGTCTGGACGAGAGGCTCTGTACGGGTACTACTTACCGTCTCCATCATTCCGATATCTGATTCATTTTCAGACTCAGAGGCGAGCTGAAGGACCTGTGGGGTACCTCTTTCAGACCCTTTGATATGCTTATCCCGCGCGTTGAGCCTATATAAAAGTTCGTTAGATTGCGTGTTTGCACGGAGGGAAAAAAGCGTACATTGCTAGTAGCGAGTTGATATACACTGAAGAGATTATCAGTTGGCCTGAGTCCCAAGGATGACCACGTACATTTGGGTAGGATGAATCCGATTGCGAAAAATACTAGGGTTTTGGGAAATGCGACAAACTAGATGAAGGGTGAGCCTTGGTTTATCATAAAGAAGCCCTGGCCTGTACCGTCATTAGTGCCAAGAGCGAACAGGTGCTTCGGATTCGTCAGACTTGGAACCAAAAAAGACTCGGGGATTGAAGGAGCCCCACCTGGTAGCTAGTCCGGATATGACAACTACCCGCATCAAGGAGAGGATCATGGCTATGGTGCTGTATCTCGTGGAATGAGAACATTGATCAATGGACAGAAAGGACTGACCTCTCAAAGTTAGTGATCGTCGTGCTCTTATGCAGGTAATAGAACATTGCTCCAGAGATGATGAAGTCGACAGAGGTCGTTGTCGCGAAGGTCCCGTCGACTGTCTTCTGCTAAGGGATCAGGGTGGATTCAGAGTGGATATTAGACGCTCTCACGGAAATGCTGGGAAGACTGGATACGCGCGATAATGTATACCTGGTAGCGTGTTAGTCGTCACTGGTATCAGGCCGGATGAAGAATCTTCGCTTACGCATCGTAAGTCATTACTAGGATGTTTCCATGAGACTGTCACAACTGAGCTTCAGGAAGATAACCTGACTCGCCTATTCCCGTAGCTTAAAACCAGCATCGTTACAAACATGCAGGATAAATGTGAGAAAAAAAGAACCATACCGCATCCACCAGCAATCACCAGGACCTATGCAGTGAAGTGGTGAGAACGACGTATATGCTGAGTCGAGAGAGAGACTCACAACAAGCCAAGGTACAAAACGGTGAAAATGATGCCCGACTATATTGAACGCCGGCTGTGTTTAATGCTACCGCGAGGAGGAGAGACGGACAAACTTTTCCATAAGCGTACTGCGTAGAGTCTAAAGTCAAGAATAGTTTGTATATTATCATCTTGAGAGCGGGAGTACGTTTGGTACGTACGATTGCACACCGACGACAATTATAACCTTGTGTATGGAGGAAATGAGCTCATAAAGACAGGCTTGAAATGGAAGGTCGTACGTTGATTAAAATCTGAAGCTGCGAAGAAGAAAACCGCAATTAAAGATTTGATAATCCTTGAAAAGAAGTGGCACCTTGAAGCTCCTATATACAGTAGAGTAAAATGGGGCAGCCTGCAGAAAAGGGAATCGAGACATACCAGATGACGTGGTCAAGCGCAAGGTAATCACCAAACGAGTCGATGAGGTAGAAGTAGATGGCGTGCGTGGTCAAGGCTACATGAAACAGATCTAGGATCCTATGCAAGAGCCAATCAACTGGAGGATCGACAAAAACTACCGGTGGGTGTGCAGACCATAGTGCGGCCACCTAATAATAGCCATCAGTTCAATGTCCAACCCATAAGGACGGCAACCTACGGAATATCTGTAATACCACGCGTCATGGGGAAACTTGTTATAATATATGACAGCTTGGAGGGCGGTTATTCCGAGTAAGCTACCGATGGGAATGTGAGCCGAGATAGCCGGTTAGGCAGAGACTGACATCGATGAGAGTGTTGCGCCGATGTAAACGGCTCCGAGGGTCTTTCCAAGTGACGGAAGAAGGGAGGACATCTCGACGAGATAACAGAGCTCGTACGATGTGGGTTCGTTTTTATACGACGAGCACGGGACATGAGAAAGTAGGATATTATTATTGCGAGTTGTAGACGGAGTGCGGCTTCGATATTTGATTGGTCCTCGAGTGCATACATATTTTCCGGGTCCGGCGAGCCATATATATATTTATTTAGCAAAAGTCAACTATGTGTTATGGTAATGAACGCGAAAGGATGATAATTAAGTCCCTACTTGAAGGAGATATCTGTGTTTCTCTAGTAGAATCAGAAATAGAACAGAGAGAAACGGAGAAACCTCGCTTTCTATTATCCTCCAGCGGGTTGATCATCATGATTATGATAAGGCATCGAGGGGGCGGCAGATCCTAATAAGAGGATGTGGAACTGGAGCGTCATCGACCAGGGGAGATTTGCGGTTGATGGGGTGCCTATGCAGAAAGCAAACTTTATCAGCAAGGGTCCGGGCTTCGTGAAGAAAGCATGGCTTATAAGGTCGCCATGATCATTAAATAGTCCCGTGGAAACTTTATGTATTAAGGGGACTTGACTGCGAGTACTGAATGTTACAGGCTGGCCATTATATTGCGGATTGATGTCCTTGATGTGGCGCGTCTGCGGAAACCAAACTGGATCTGTGTTGTTTTGGCGATACGCTTAATTAAAAGTAAGGACTGAGCTGAATAGTGCCGGTGTGCCGTGAAAGCACTTCCAGAGGGGCACCGAGGATAGTTACATAATTGCAAAAAGGAACGACTTCACCGAGGGAAACAACCATGTCAGGATCAATAAATGACGTGATATATATGGTTCCTGCAGGCCGCATTAAGAGTGATTTATGGAAAGAAAGAAAGATGATGACAGCGCACCTGCAGGAAACAAGAGGAAGCCATAAAATACAACACGATGAGGAACGATCAATCTTATCCTTGTAAATATGGTGCGGCCGGATCTCGAGTGGACGCGTGGGTCAAGATATCGAGAGTTTTTGTGGGTAATTCATGTTCAGTTTCTGAATGCAAAGTAAATATTGATCCGGATGGTGATTCTCAGCCACGCGAGGCGTATTTGGGTGTTAACGGCGGCGCTACGGCCCGTAAGGGGGTGTAGAACTGGTGAGATTTTTGCTTGATGGCCTCTTTCGAAATTCACACTTTATCAGTCCGCATCCGGGAAGCTTGAATAATACAATCAACAGTTCCGAAACATGATGCTCTGGGCCCTTCACCACGTTTATTATGCAACTGCTGTGTAGGCTACCGTGTGGACAAGCAAATTTGGGAACGCGAGGAGGTCCGACGCAACGAACAGATCGCATTATAACAGAAAGAGTCGTCGGCCATGAACCGCGTGGCGACCAACTGTCCGGATGGCGATTGGCGATTCGAACCTGTGTAACTCTGCGATAACAACGGCACGACGGCACCTATTTCTGTTTCACGGTCTCAGTTCTCCGCGGATGCTTTTTGTGACTTCCAAGATAAGGGGAGAAAAAAAAACTTACCACTTTCCTGAAGAAAATTAAAATTTCCAGAGAGAGTCCTTAAAAAAGCGCGTACAAAAGATGCGTACCAACAACGTCATGGGCTTGGCGTTTGCATTAGGAGTTGTAGGAGTTGGCCCCCCTGAAACGAAAACATGAGCAAATAGGCCGTCAAGGCCAATCAATCCGTCACGTTCCCTTTTCTTTCCTTTCTCCTCCCACCCATTATCCTGCCTACGTAACAGTGCGCCCGCCCCCCATTCCAACGCCGTCGGTCGCTCCTTCATTCACGATTTTTTTCCATTCCTCTTTTTACCATCGCTCATACCCATATACGACTACCACGAAAATGCGCCTACTAAATTTGTTGCCTATACCCCTTGTCGCTACCGTTGCATCTGGTGAGCACATTTTGCCTGCATTTTACGGTGGATTTTCTGATACCTGGCAACAGCATACTTTGAGATAACAAGTCCATCTGAAAACGCTCAATGGCGGAACGGCGGAGTGAATGTGATATCCTGGGAGAAGGGCACGCTGGACGGAATCGATTCGTTCGATATAGAGATGACGAGACTCAGCGAGGACGGGCTGACATACATCGCCAGCACAGGTGCGTGCGCGCGGTGCGGTCCGTTTCCCAACCCTAACCGCTCATTTTCCACCTAGTCCCCGCCGAGAAGGCCTCGCCGTCGTCATTAAACGTGTATCTCGAGAATATCCCTGCAGCAGACGATTATTTCCTTCTCTTCCTCAACGCGACCCACGGAATCATGTATACCACCTCGCCCCGCTTTACTATCCTCAATTCCTCCGCTACGTCCACGTCTGGTTCGACGCCTACGCCAGATAGGGCGGTTGCTACCGTCACGATAAGCGGGACGCCGAATCCAACACAAGGTTTCGTGACGACGTTTGCAGCTGCGTCGAGTGCTTTACCGAACCTGGAGTGGCGAGCTCTGGTGGGTATAGGTGCAGTGCTGGTCGCTGGCCTTGGTGGGGCCGTATGCGTGCTCGTCTAGTTTTTTGTTTTTGTTTTTGTTTTCATCTGGAATCACCGGTTTCCTGTGCGCGTTGCATTGACGGATAATGACTTGTTGGATGGACCTCCCCTCGTTTATTCGTGCGAGCCCCCTCGTTAAACCTACTTTATATTTATGCTCTCGGGGCCCTATAATGTACTAGGATTCTCTTTCATTCGCATTTCAAACATGAAATCATGATCGACGGGATTTTCGTGCTGCGCTATGGAGACCACACTGCGCATCCACTGATTTTCTTTTTTTCGTAATAAGTAGCTGCGTCTGTCGCCACCGCCGCTTTTTTCATAAAACAAGTTATTCCGTTGCCGGCGGCACTGAACGAAGGCATGTGGGCCAACCCCTTCATATGGATGTATGGAGAGCGTTCGAACGAGCGAGATACTGCGAAGCTATTTAATCGCCCATTTATCGTGCCTACCTACACAATTGAACAGTGCCACCTGAATAAAATTGTACACAGAGGCATGGGCTTTTTTTGACGGGCTGTAGTAGGTAAAGCCACTATATTTACCGACAAGTTACTTCCCCTTCTTCGGAGGGATTTTCGTCAAAGTAACTTTCCATTTATGTGACTGGCAATTCAGCATGCTATATATAATGTGACTAATAAAATCTTTCTATCAATAGCGTCATGCATCAGCGGGGAATCGAACCCCGAACGCGGCCACAGATTATGAGCGCAGCGCATGGGAAGACCGCATGTTAATCATTACACCACTGATGCTTGAGGTACTTTGTTGTGGAACCTTGAGTACTAACAACTAGAACGAACAAAGAGAACTGCGCGTCAGCCACGTGATAATGCACGTGATAGGCAACTAAACGGTAAAAGTATGGGTGGGTGCAAAACTGGAGGCTTCGTGCGCAACCCTAGAACAGTTCATTTCATTCAAAAACTAATACACCACACAGTGATTGCATTAGGGAGGAATCGAACCCCGAACGCCCAGAATAGATTAGAGAATCCACATGTTATTAACCATTACACAAGATGCTGCAGCTATAACATACATGTAGAATGCATGCATCAGCGGAAACTCTCATCATATTTTCTCGCCAGAAACGTCAAATGAGATCCATTGCACCCAGGTGCTCACGGCAAATGGTCAAGTGTTCCACATATAGACTACGATTAACGGTCCAGTCCCCCCCCAAAAAAATGATACAACAAGTAGAATATACAAAATCCAAAAAAAGCAAGTCAAATACCATAAATGTCCTCGACGCCCAACGCATCCTCGCAGCCAAACCACTCGAGCCATTCGCTGACATGATACCTCGCTCTCCTCGCCGGCCACCTCTCGAGCTCGACCCCGCCGTCCTCGCCCTTCCTCCCGCTCTTCTTTCTGCGATGCACGGTCCAATACGCCGGGCCGACGCGCACGATCCTGACCATCGGGAAGCCCTGCTCGACGATGCCGGCCACCTCGCCGGTGCCCATCCCGCCCGTGTCTAGGCCGACGAACCGCAGACCGGAGGGCACGCCGAGGCGGAGGTCGCGCATCCCGCCGCCGACGAGCCCGTTCAACGTGAGGCTGACGACGCTCCGGGGGATGAGCCATGCCGCGAGGCCGGGCGCGAGGTCCCTCGGGTAGGTGATCCCCAGACCCTTGAGACCTGTGAGACTGGGCAGCACGCCCCACACCGACGCGTCGAAGCCGACGGCTTTCTGTATAGGCTCGGCGGGGACGAGGAGCGAGAGCGTACGGAGGTCGATGCGGTCCCGCAGGAACTCTGCGATCGCGGGGAAGAGATCGCGGTCCGTCAGTCGTCGGTTCATCGAATGGACCGCAAAGGCAAAGTGGCGGAGGAAGGGGAGCTCTCCGTGTGCGCCGCGGAATTGGGAAGAGGGGGCGCAGTCAAGGAGGCAGGTGAGGGAGAGGGACTCGAGTTGCCGTCCGTGGCTGAGGATGGTCCCGACGGCCTGGCTGTTGAGGGGGAATTGCCCGAGGAAGTGGATGTGGGTGAGGTTGCGGAGCGAGAGCGCGTCGGCGGGGAATATCCAAGCTGGATTCTCTAGGGAGAGCGTCCGTAGCGTCGACCGGTGCTGGGCGAGGAACGCATGGGGATTTTGGGCCCCTCCGCTGCCACTGCCACCAGCGTGATAAGCAAAGTTGGCGATATGGTTCAAAGTAAGGGTGCTCAGCTCGAACAGCCCATCAGGGACGTGCAGTGAGAGACCATTGAGCTTGGGCGAACATGACTGGAGGATCCTCAGCACGGGTAGGACACCGTCGGCGCTCGAGGATATATGTACCCTCCTCAGATTGACCATCTTCGGGAGGGCATTCGACAGGATTCCCGTCTGAAACGAGGTGTGGCTGTTGACGGTGGCGAAGATCCGGAGGGTGCGGACGACGCTGGCGAAGGAAGGATCGGTTATGACGCGGGTAAGGATGTCGGCCGTTCGTTGATCTCTGTCCCTCTCCTTTTCCCACTCTCCTCCTTCGCTACCTTCGTCGAACGGCTGTCCTTCGCCCTCGCCGAAATGCAAATCCACCTTTCGAAAGAGAAGCTGCGACGCAACGCGGGACAAAGGGTGGGGGACCGAAAGCAGCGTCTTCAAATCGCGACGAGGAAGAAATAAGGCTATTTCGCGCCATATTTCATTAGATATTCGATGGCCCGTGGGAGCGAGAAGCTGGGGGGAGGCCAACCAACCATTTGTCATTTGATCTGGGTTCGTAACTGGTAGGGTACTCACCTTTTCCACGGCGACGGAACGTTGGTGTAACAGTGCGGTTGCTTCCGGATTATCTGGTTCTGCGAGCAGAGCTGCTTGGAGGTCTGTGCATATCGTTCGAACGTTGAGTGGAAGGTCTGATGTAGATAAGCCTAGCAACGAACGAACCTTCTTGGGCGCCTATAAATGAGCCGGCTTCCAAACGTAGACGGGCACGTAAGATTCGAGCCTTGGCGACGATTGAGGGTGAGAGGGCATGAATCGATAGGCAAGCCTGAATGGCGTTTTCGACGACGACTTTGTGTCTAAGTAAACCACGATTCAGTCGACCATGTTCCACCAACAAGCGGGCATTGGGCATTGGGCATTGGGGCCGACGTACCTTGTATATTTGAGACTCGTCATCGCATAGAGCAGCAGATCTGCTTTCTGGTTATCCGAAAGACAGTATGCAACATCCCGAATGCAAGCATCAAGAATTTTTGGATTGAACACGTCCATGAATTTGGGTGGTCGGCCAGCCAGGATGGTAGAATTTTAGCAGTAACAAGTGAAAGGTGAACGAGTTTATATGGGACAGCCGAAGGGCCAAAGGGTCAGGACGGGATGACGAGACGACTGGGAGGGTATACTGGATGGGGTGATGGAAGCAAAACGAAAAAGTTCCAATGCGCCCGTCATCACAGGGCCTGGACCCGGCGATTAGATTAGATGTCCCACGGGGATTGGGCGTCGTCGACCATCGGATCAGCCGATCTAATCGAGGCTAGGGTCAAGAAGCGAATAGACCTCTAAGCGGCAGGTAATTCTACGTCGTTGATTCGCCGGAGTGAACGAATTGGAGCTGGCGAAATATGACTGGCCAGCACAACCTTATTCCATGGGAGCCCGAATAGTAGCTGCATGCACAGTGGAGGACCCTATCCGCGACAGAAATCTTTCCACAGGGCCCTTGAGCGAGCAAATGAAAAAAAAACAGCCTGTCACACTACAATTCAACTAGCGGGAGAAAACGACCCGGTTTCGTACGAACATTCATCCTGAAGCAGTGGGAGGAGACGAATAGAACGAAAACCCAGTTTTCCATTGAATCGAAAAACGAAAGAGATATGCTAAATGATACAAAAAACAAAAATCTAGTATAAACCCCTCGAGCCCAATACTTTACTTAAAACATCGACATTTTTACTGTCTGCCCACCCATTCGTACCCTTGCCGGTAGGGGGACGGGAGTAACGATGTCCCATTGGCATTCTGCTTCGCTCTGCGTGTTCTAGGGGTCAGCTGACGCTCGCCAGAAATCAGAAAACGGCAGAGAAAACAAAACTCACAGAGCTCGGTGAAGACTTTGAGCTCGAGCTGAGATGTTTCAGTCGGATTGAGTGTTTGAGACTAGAGCGCACGCTGGAGTGCATACTCGAATGCTTGAAGCGAGGCGGCATCGACATTGACGCAGCGACGGTGTCAAGCTCCTGCCGGTCGAGGATTGGGAGGTTCCGGGCGTTAAGCATCGCTAGGAAGGAGCCGACGTATACTAACAGATTAAGGCATTATTCCTTCGTCCTATGAAGCCCAAGATAAAAAACATACGTCGTGTCAACAAAAACTCTAGCGAGATGAATATGAGCGTGTTTGGCAGAAGTACATACTACAGTCCAACCCCATGGGTAAGTTTAGAAACTGAGACAGACACAATCAGGGACGTACAGTGAACAACACGGCCAACGAGCAAGCACTCGTGACCAGGCCCGAGCTGAGGGTATATTGCATCACCACGGAGATGCGCGAATTCAGACTTTGATCGATATCAGGAAATAATACGAGAAGGCGTGCATCAAATGAGCTCAACTCGGACTCGGACTCTGAACCCCGGCCTTTGCGGAGATAATAGCACATTGCGAGCGCCAGGACGAAATCGATCAGCGTTGACGCCGCTAGGGACGATTCCATCGCCCAGGATTTGTCGTCTGACGAGAGGGACGGGAATGTTCGGGTCATATATCTATCATCTGTCGGTTAACGTTCCTCTCCCCCTACAGTATGAAAAGGGTGCCGTACATTTCGTATGTTAACGCTGAAACAAGTTAGAATTCAGAGAGGCAGTTAACGCGGAAGGGAGCCCTGGCACACTGACCTATACCGATACCAAATCCACCAACGACGCTCAGCGCCGCAAGGTACCGGAGGAACCCACGGTGGTACCCACTCAGGAGCCAAATCCGGAGCGCGTAAAGACTGAAGCGAAAAACGGCAATCAACGACTGTGAGAAACAAAAAAAAAATAACAACACAGAAGCAGATACCTCTGCACGAAGAGAATGATCACGACCATTACCGCTACTTGGAGCTGGACAAAAATAAACATCTTTTAGTTCCGATCTTGGTGGCCGGATAGTACCTTGATTGACCAGACGATCTCCGGGCCCGCTTCCACCAATCCCCTCCCGCGATTGGTGACGATATAGAAATACATGGCATGGATCGTGAGCGCGAGGTGGAGCGTGTCGAGGAGGTATAATACGCCAACTGATAGGCGATGAAGGGTCGTGTCCCGAGGATAATTATGAAAGTAGAGATATGTCTGAAGAGTCGTTATCCCAAAAAGACTGGGGGCGGGCGGCCGTTGGATCAGAGTAATAAAAAAGCTAAAAAAGAAAGTACGCACAAACATGCACCCAGCAATCCCAAGAAAACCGCGCCCAGGGTGTTATTTATCGTTTGCGCTTCCAGGCTCAGGAGTGGAGCCATGGCAGAAGTGAAAAAGTGGGAAAGAAAAAAAGACAGGTAGGAAAAAAGAATGAAAGAAAGGAGAGTTGAGGAGGGTCAGAAGAAGGGAAGAGGAAGAAAAAGTCAGGTGTGGACCGAGCCACCATTTAAACAGAGAAGAACACATGGCTCCGTCGAGTACCGGATTCTCTTTCTGTCTGCGCATATGGGAATCTATATAAATGTGGGGGAACAACATAAATATCACAGCGAAGACCCCGGGTTTCTTTTGAAGAGACAGGCTGGGCGGGAACATCATGTAAGTAGCATCCCGCTACATCGGTGCCCCCAAACTAGGTGGGGTCCGTCCACCATCTCCAAGCAGAAATTCGCATGAATGTCAGGTTCAGACGTCGAGCTATCTGATAATGATATGATGTGTGGCCCCCGGCAAATCCCGGACCACCTAGCGGAAGCGAAACAGTGGTTCCCTCCGTCACCTCGAGTCTAGCCTCTGCCAGCAAAATGAAGTGTCAGCGTACAATATATCAATGAACGTAATGCTCACGGAACAGGGATGTGGGGAGGGGGGAGCCTCGGAAATGCGGAGAAACACAGAGAGGATGCTGGCACTGTCTACTTGTTCGAGGAGCGCTCTTGCCCCGCCTCACGTCTTCCATTTGCAGGAGACATGGACACCCACCACGCGAGCATGCAGAGAGAATGACAAGACACGCATAACCATCGGGGATCCCCAACGTCGTCCAGGGATCAACGCCAGCGCCTTGCATCAGAAAGCTCGATCCCAATGTCTTGGTACTCAAGGATGGAAGAACGGGCCGGCCAATGAAGCTGCAACCACGGTGGAAATAGCCCCGCTTCAATTGTTTTTTCCCTCGCCGGTCAATGTAAGCGACAAATCAGGTTATGAAGATGGGATGGGGTGGCGTACGAACGACCCCCATCATATTTCATTAATAGAAATGACTGATTTGAGAAAAGAAGGAGAGCTCTCCGGAGATGGTTGCCAGCTTCTGTCAAACATATCAAGGGAGAACCGGAGCATGAAAGCGAAAAAGCTTCACCGACCTCGACTTTCCAGAAGGGAAAAAGGAAAAAGAGAAAAAGAGAATTTCATTTCATGTACGAAAAGCACGGAGCGTGTTATATCGGTCTGATAGGTTGGCATAAGCCTGAGAACAGATGTCGTGAGCGAGGTTCTACGCAGAAAAGTGAGTGTTTCTCACCAAGGTTTGACGTCCAACACGCAAGCATGCATTCACTTTATGGTTTTTTTTTTTTTGGTTTGACGCAGAAGCGAACATTATGATGGACACAGAAGTACCTGTTGGCAGCGCGTGACGGCGGAGAGCATGGGAAGAGGCCAAGGTGGGTGGCGGGAACACTGATCGTCTGCGGGTAAAAGAAGTTCGATAACTCCTTATTGCACATCGACTGGTGGTAGGATTAGCGCTGGGTGACGAAAGATAGACGGACGAAGTGTTACCCCCGCAAATAAGGCCATTCATTCTCTTCCAGACGCTAGATAACAGAAGCTGTCGTTTCTCCCGGCATATGGAAGATCTATATGTTTGCTAGCTCAACAGTCCGGAGCGACCAAAGCGCTTCATTCTTTCGCCTTGTTAGAGCTACCATCCCTTCCGCACCAGATACGACACCTGCAAAAGACTTTTAGATAAAGGTCACGGGCTGCAGATTTGGGCGATCCTTAATACTCTCGACCGTGTGACCCGTTCCCGCCAAGAAAAAAAGCAACCACGTGGTGCCGAAATATCGTACAGCGAGACCTGTGGTACGAGCGCATCCTTGAATGGCAAGAAACGAATTGGATCTTGCGCTCAAAATGTACGGAAGAGGGCTGCGAACCCCTTGCTTGAAGAGAGGCAAGGGTGAGTGGGCGTATACCTGGCCGGGCATTCGGGTGAGCATGAACCAGCCAACAATTAGGGCATCTAAGCAAACGTATGAGACTTCCTCCATCCAACGTTTTCCCTGGAGAGAGATGGGTTTAAGCCAAAGTTGGTACTTCCTCCCACCGGAGGTATTGCGAGGAGTGCAACGCAAGACCCTTGGCAGGTTACGGCGTACAGCGAAGTCGATAGACTATGTTTGTTCAGCCGTAGTCACAGCACAAGGATCTTCCTGTAAACACAAGAAGATGGTAAATCCTGCGTAGAGAAAAGCCAGCATGGGCGGATACTCCCGTAAGGAACTACTCCTACAATTACTTGAAGAGCAGATACCAGACCAATAAGACGCGTACGGCGCTCTAGCAACTAGAGAACTCATTTTCGTAGTGTGAAGGAAGAGCTGTGACACTGCGAGCCCTGGGGGATGCACCAAAGGAGAAAGGAAGAACTCTTGTCTCCCTCTTCTAAAGAGAATATTAGCAGCAATCAACGTCCACCACGAACAAAGGTGACTTAAGGTCCTTCAATTGGGAAGGCCGTAACCCTAACCCTACGCGCACTCCCACAGAGAAGAAATCAAAAATCAAAAAAAAAAACCTCAATACGATCACACTTGTCGACATCACTGAAGAAACACGTGGACGGTTCAGGAGAATCGCGAGACGCGTTGCATGCGTTTCGGATGAGTGGTTGAGGCGAGGACTGTAAAAACGGGACCTCGAATTAGCTCCTGCATCAATGCGACAAAGTACACGAAAACCAACCGGCTAATCGGGATGAATAGGCGGGCCAAAATGAATGTCGGAGTTTTCGCTATCGAGAACGAGCGGTCCTGACAACGTCACAACACCCAGCGGCCCTTCTCTAGGTGGCGCCTAGAAGTATCAACATAAAATTACCCTGCTCCTGCAAATTTAGTTTGGACATTAGCCAAGGCAGCCTGGGGTAAAACGCATGCCCGACTTGGTCAGAATAGTATTAGCGGGAAAAATGGTCAAGTCATATGTTTATAGGGGTCAGCGCGTTGATGGCGACGATCAGAGGAGAACGGCAAAAGAACATCCATTTTGGATGCAGGGCAGAAACGAACTAACTACCCTTGTCCCGACTTGCTTTGCTTCTGGTTCAAGTAACACTTCGTGGATAGCGTGGTCGTCCCAGAAAGAAATAACTGTGGTGGGGGAACAGCCGACGTCCAGGATCCTCCAAACGATTCGCGCAATATGTACCCGTACGTAGGAAGACTTAATAGATAAGAACAAAGGATTTTCATTTTTGTCCAAAATCCACAGAGACGTGCCACCTGTCTATCTGCGCTAGTCAGTGAAGATAAGCCTGGATAAAGAACTGCGACATACTAATGACCGTTCCTCCGTCGTATTGACGGCCCAGGACCCTTCTAACGTAGCTTAGCGAACAGCTTGGGCGCGGCGCATTCCTGGAAAGGGGAGTCAGATAGTAGAGAGGCGGAGGCAGAGGGATGACTTACATCGACGCAATGCATCATGCTATAAGCAAATAATTTAGTATTGCATCTGTGGGGGGAGAACAGGCACATACTGGACTATGATTCCGCACGCAGGGGTTCAGTCAGCACAAGCTACACCAACAGCAAATGGCACTTACACCTACACTACAGCGTCAGTACGGAAACAGAGAAGAAACGAGAGACGCACAGTTCCTCAACACATTCCTCGCCCTTGGATCCCTCGCCTTTCGAGACCTTTTCCTGACAATGCTCAAAGTGCTTGGCAAGCGCAGAGCACTTGGACGATTCCTTGCACTCCTCCCGGATGATGGGGTGGATCTGCATCGACCGTCAGCGCTGCGAAAAAATTGGAGGGGTGGTGGCCCACGTCTTCCGGTTCCTCCTCCTCCTCCTCCTCCTCCTCCTCCTCCTGCGGCTGGGCCTCTTCAACGGGTGTCTCCTCTGGTTTGTCCTCAGAGTCGCAGTGGGCGGTGGGGATAAACGACGAAAAGAAGGAGGTGATGTTGTTCATCGTGGACGTGATGAAAGAAGATTCGGAATCGGGACAGGCCGTGAGAAACGTTGCTTAGTCAGCGGTTGTATCGGCCCACATCTGGGCAGGTGGTTTCCTGGTAGCCAACTTGGCTCCTGCGACTTGATGGAGGGTAGTACTTCCCGCTTTTACGTAGTTAGTTGAGCGCATCTATAAGGTTTATACTGTTCGGTTTCCGCCACGTACGATTGAACACCGATGATAATTATAACCTAGTAAATGGAGAAGAAAAAATAAACTCACAAAAGTCAGGTGTTATATGAAAGGGACACGCATAGATCAAAATGGGGAGCTGGTATGGAAAAGCACGATTAGAGACCATCTCTGAAGAAGACGGACAAGGGACTAAATGCCTTGAAACTCTTAAAATTGATATGCGTTGAACATCGCAGAGCATGTTCACAGCTACATGAAGCAACCGAGAATCCTGGATAAGAGTGTGTCAATTTAAGGATCGATGAAGATATTGCAGGGCATTCTGACTGTAGTGCGGCTGACCAACAGGCATGAATCAAATCAACCTTGACCTCGGAAGAAAGGTGATAAGCTATGGAGTATCTATAATGCTACACGTCATGAGGAAACTTGGTGTAATATATGGCGACCTAGAGGGCAGGTATTCCAAGTAGGCTACCGATGGGAGAGTTAGCCGGGGTAGCCGATTAGACAGATACTGATGTGGACGAGAGCGTTGCGACGATGTGAACTGCTCCAAAGGTCTTTCCGAGCGACAGAAGAGAGGAAATCTCGACGAGATAACAGAGCTCATCTGCTTGTGGGCTCATTTTTATACGACGAGCATAAAGCAAGACAAAGGTAGGGTATATTATTACTGCGGGTGGTCGAAGGAATGCGGCTTCGATGTGGTTTGATCGGTCCTCGAGGGCCTACGTATCGTCCTGATAGACTTATTGTATAGTTAATTAAGTGATAACGGTACATGGATTTCGAACTCCGATTTGAGGGTAACTTGAAAGAGCGACCCGCGTTCCCAAAGTAGAATCAGAATTAGAATAGGGTGTAGGCGGAAACGAAGAAACCTCGCTTTTTATTGTCCTAAAGTGCGCCGACTATCATGATTATGGTAAGGGCGACGATAGAGAACTAGATCGTCATCGACTAGGAGAGATTTGTGGTTGAAGGGATGCTTCTTCGGAAGACAAACTTTATCAGCCTGGATCCGTGAGCGTAAAGAAAACGTGCGGTGGAAAGTTGCCCTTGCCATAATCATCAGCGGTCCCGAGGTGCCATTGTCCAATGGAGTTTAACGTATTTCGTACGCAGCGCCGGCAGGTGAGTAGTATAGGTGACAGGCCAGCCATTATATTGCGGGATTGATGGACGGGACGAACAGCAAACGCACTCTAGCACTAAATTGTTGGATTAGCAAGCAGGAGCTCCGTCGTATCCCGCCGGCCAAGCTCGATACCCCTTTATGTCGGGATGGACTATATATATCGAATACGGTCTGTCGAGCACCCTCACCGCGTTTCTGCTTATCGCTACGCTGTGTGAGGTCTACGTTATAGCTAACAGCATACTCTATTAGGTGCTACAAATGCGCGTCACTTTCTTAGACTAAATAATACGCAAATCACACTTTAATCCAGAATCTACGCAGTACAGTTATAGAAGAGTCCGTCTCCTCGTTCTCACCGCGATAATACTAATCGAGGATCTCTCTCTGAATTTAGTCGCGCGCCATTTCTATAGTTTCATACAACGGCTTATCGTAAGGATATCACCTTGAGAGATTTGTTAGCTCTTCCTAATCACTCTGGAACATAAAGAATGATAATGGCTGGTGGCTGAGGTACTGTCTTGGAAGCCCCCATTCATCCTGCGTTCAAGCTACGGGACCAGGAGAGTCGAGTCGTCTTACAGGAGCTTCAAATCTTTATCGCATAAATGCATTCTAGTATAACGCGTGAGCAAAGATTTTCGGTGCGGTCTTCTGCTGGATAACACGTCTCTAGATAGGCATTATCGCGTGTGTCTAGTCTTCCTAGTATTTCCGTGACCGCAAAAAGATAAAATTATCGCTTCATTTTCACTGAGTCTTACAAGAAGACAATCAGTGGGACCTTCGCCACAATATCCTCTGTCGATTTTATTATCTACGTTGATGACGCAATATTCGGGACTCCCTTGCGATAAGCCAGTGCACGCCTTTCTCTAGTTTGTCTTTGCATAAGGCTATTTCGACAACACGTTTTAATTCAAATTCAAATTCCTTAGGTATACCAGTCATCAAGACAAAGTAAAATTCAACGATACTTAGAATCGAAACGGCACCGCCCAACATGTCTGTCCGATCAGGATTTATCCTTGTACTTGTGACAGCTATCTACTTCTTTGTCCTTTCGACATGGTCGCACTATGGCGGATATTTGCTTCCAGTATTCATCAGTATACCACTGGTCTGCACGTTTCTTGCGGCCAACGACCACGTTCCAATAAGTTCCAGACGCGAAAGGATGATGTCTCTCCCAATATTTGCCCTGGTGCTTCCGGTGAAGAAACATCAGAACTGCGCTGGACAGTGGGATTGGGACGTCTCTGCCCAGTCATGTTCGATGACGACCCCAATAGTGGAAAACTGTGCTCATAATTCGATGAACTCAGTGGGGAGGGGCGAATTCCTTTCTTGGAACTCGAATACGGAGTTTTCCCAAACTTCCGACTGAATTCGTTGTCTCGTCGAGATAGTCCTAGATCGTGCTGCTTCGACTCTTTGAAACCGGTGTCACTGGCGGGAAACCTGTACGATGAATTGAACGGCTCGGGGTGATATCACTGCCTTCAACAGATCGACGTGGAAAGAGGGTTTTCACATCAAAGCTAGGACGTCTCACATCGAGCCGAACGGTGGGAGGGGCAATATTGAGAGGGCCATAACGCCCTCTAGCATCTGGGAGGTTAGCCAGTCGTTCTACAACAGTTGTACATTGCGTCCAGGATCTGCCACGAGCTAGTTTCCCGACGAGGGTTGACTGCCCGGGTCCCGAGAGGAAACTGCGGCTCGTGATAATAACAAGACCTCGTCGACATCGTCTGAGCATGACATTCATTCGCTGGTCGGAGCATAGGAACCCGGGGTCGCGGCACCGGACGACAGAGACTAGGACGATGTCTGCTTCGTTTCCCTGTATGTACGACATACGTTTCATGTGTCAGGGGAATTATTGTAGTCACCTTGGAAACTGTCGACATTGAATACCCGCTCCCAATGCAGACATTGCATCTAGAAATCTCCATGGGTTTGACGCGATCGAGAATATCGGCGTCAAACAACAGGCGACCTAGAAATTCGATAACCTTGATATTGAGATGAGTATGGTCTGCGGTGTTGAAGGAAAAAGTTGGCTCACTTCTCGCTTAAGCTATCGAGTCTCGACCGGCTTTGTCAGAGAGGTAGTACTCGTATTATTTTGGATGCTACTACGTTTCACATATCCGTTGATGCGTGTCATGAAAGAACATGGAGAATGCTTACACAGCAGAAATCCACACCCGAAGGCACACCTTTGTAATCTTTTCGTCCGCTGCCTCGTCCAGCTTGTCATTCGAGAGACTGTCAACTGAGAAACTATCCAGTTTGGTTGAGAATGTTTCAGAGAGGAGCTCTGAAGGATACGATGGATTTCCGGGCCATTTCGATCGGAAGGTGAAGAGGTCGATACCTTGTATATGGCACTTTAGACGGCAAAAGATCTGAATGGAGAGCCGTGGCATATCGAATCCAGCTACAGCAAGCTTCTTCGCTGAAAGTAAGGTACAGAACGACTCGTCCTTCTTGGGAAATGTCATGTTTCTGTCTGATAGGGAAATGACAAAGACCTCCTGAGGTGTAGCAATGGCGAGGTATTCTATATCTTCTCCTGGCGCTTGGGCGATGGATATGCCCAGGCATTTCTCACTCAGAAGGGCGTCTCCTGCGCTACCTACATGTCGGCGGGAGCAACGCCAGATCCGTACGTCAGTGCACTCTTGGGGAAGAATGGACCATCTGAGGGTATTCATGGAAGTGCGAAAGCAGAAAGTAATATGACTGCGTTCCGTGCACGCCTGGGGCGCATGCAGAATCGGGCCGGGCGCTAATCATCCACCAGGAAAGTTACTCTCATAGATGGGAAAAAAGTGGCCTTACGTATCTGATTCTCAGTTTCGTATTGTGTTACTTACTATTCGGATTAGAGTTGATTTGCTCGAGTTTATTTCGTTGTTTTTTCATTTCAAGCTCATGACGGGCGATAATTGCACGCGATAAAAATCTGTGCTCGACGTCGACACGGAACTCTGTGCGAAAATTCTAATTTATTCGGCAAACTGAGTTTTGGTTTCTAAGTTGAACATAAAGCCACTTGCTAGAATTGCATCCGCATGGCTAAGATTATGAATGGGTCCGTCCCTTCCCGTAATTCTGGTTGCAATGTCGCAATTTAGTCGGGTGTCATTTTCATCACTTCATACATTGGCTTGTTGTAGGTCTTTCCCGAGTCTGGAGTCGGCAGATACTTCATTCACTCTTTTGCTGAGGTGCTGGCAATTGTTGTGGATGCGGTGTGGTGTTTTCTGATATTTATCCTGGGGGTATAATGCTGTTCTTAAAATACGAGAATAGGCGAGTCGAGTTATTTCACCTGAACCTGAAGCACCTGTTCGTTCTTAGTGCCAATGATGATTCTATCTGTTTTACTAGGCGGAGGCTTACAAATGTGTTCTTCGTCGCATTTCTAAACACTAAGCTTGGCAATCGGTGATATGCAGGCTACATGTCCAGCCCTATAATTTGCAAATTCTGCATAACACACTAGAATATGCTAGTAACTGAGAATCATTAGCCAGTAAAGGACTATGGCTGAGGCTCCGAGCTGATAGTCATGCTAGTCACCAATACTAAGTCCAAAAGGGACTTTGTATAAGGATAAAAATCCTAAGTCAGGTTTGAACTTAGAAAAGTTCTGCACCACACCTTGGAAAATACTAAGTCCAAGTTGGACTTAGAAATGGTACCTCAAATGGGGCCAATTCTACATGCCACTAAGACAAGTATATTCTAAGACAGCTAGAGGTATAATACTATAGCTAGTTGTGGAGTATTGAGTAGAGATAGCATCATCCAGGAGCAGTAAGGAGTGAGACCCAATGATCTGTGGCTAGCACTATGAGTTTTGACTCAAATGTCTAAGTCAGAATTTCCTAGGTATCAGGTGACCTAAGGGACTTAGAATTGAGAGGAATAGAGTGGATAGGACCGGTTGACCGGGCCTGATCGGGCCTGATCGATCAAGCTACTAAGAATAACTCAGAGGATTAAAACTTTGAGTAGACAGAAAGGAGTTAGGTACCCATAGGCACTGTAGGCTTAAAATAAGGCTGTGCGGTGGCCAGGCGGGTCTGGGCATGCCTAGGGGAGTCCAGGAGTGCCGCCATTCCGGAATAATGGTGTGATTCCGCTTTAAACAGGAGAAATATTATTTTGAGCGCTTTATTTATAGATTCTGTACCTGTTGTTGGTGTATAAAAGAAGGGAATGGGGGGGAAATAGCAGGCAAGCGACCCACCCCCACGTTCAGGCCTTCTAGCCCACTGTAGCTAGTCCCTGGGACAACGGATTTTGAGTTCTGCTTCGACTTAGTGATTTATTTAAGTTGCTTTGTCACTTAGAGAGAGGATTAGATTGGAATTATAACTATATTTTGGGTTCGGATTAATTTGGGTTCCAAACTATAAGGGTTTCGGCATCAGAGTACAAGTTCTTCGGTTTTGAGGACTGCTAGCCAGCCAAGAGTGCAGCTAGTCAAGCCTAAGTGCTTGATAGACTTAGTATTTGGGTTTCGGAGTTCATTGGGTTTCGGAATATTCTAAGTTGGTTTGGAGCGCAATTTGGTGTTGATTCTAAGTCCTAATTATACTTAAACATTGCTATAAACTACTCTCATGAGTATTGCATCTTTGAAAGCAAGATAGAGTTAAATAACTGTCTTTATTGACTGTTTCTGTGATTTTACTTAAGACTGCAAGAGTGCTTCTATTGTACTTGAAACAACTGACCTCAACTGTATTTGGTGATTGTGTATTGAGTGGTTAGGTGTTGGTGTTTGAGAGTTCATTCCTCATTCACTTCTCTTAGTCACTTAGCTGTTACCAAGCACATCATCGGAATCATCCTACCCAAATTTACGTGGCAATTCTGTCTAAATCCAGACTGGCTGATTATCTCTGTAGTGTATAGAGACTCGCTACTAGCCATGTGCGAATTTCTTCTAGGTAGACATACAAGGTAATCGACATGCATAAGCTCAACACCCAGGAAAGCACATCAAGAGATATCCTTCGACTCCTGTCTAAAATGAATCAGATATTGGATCACGTCTCGGAAATCTAATGGAAAGTCCGGTTCCGCGAAGACGACTCAGTACATCTTTGTTCTTACTTTCCTTTGACTTCTTTGCTCATTTGCGATCAAAGGAAAAGGCCATACCAGCGAACTCCTCATGGCAAATAGTCAATACTGTGGGTGATTTTCCGCCGTTTCTTCCTTCTCTCGCTGACTGCTATTATGGTAGGCCCCCACCTCCCGGCTTGGCATCCTTTTTGCAAGTGGTTATCAGCCAGTTATCTGCTGACTCGAAACCAATCCAGTGCGGACGGAAGAGATGCATACGTTCCTCTAACAGAATTCCAACCCAGTCAGTTCCTCAAATTGTACAAGGTTCCTCCAAACGCCACGGTCGAGACTATTCATATGGCATCCAACGTATCGACAGACCGGACAACCTCTACACCTGTCCAATAAAAACCTGTCGAACCTAAATCATCTCAAAACTCTCAAGGCGCACTACGCCGCCCATCATACCACCATCACCTGCGATTCCGTTTGTCCAAGTCAGACCAACGACCCGGTTACGAGGCATATCGATCGCTGTCTATAGTTTGTTCATTGAGAAGAACATAGACATATAGCAACGTTTTCAGTCGCAGGGGCCAAGGCGTACTTTGAAGATGTTCATATGCGTCCCCGTGGCGTGCAGTGTCCTCATTTCATGACCTTCTATCAATCTAAACGGCTTCTGTACAATCACATATGTACAAATTGTACAAATGCTTGTAAGTGCCCGCAATCTAACAGATGTGGACAGTGGTAGAATTCATTACAGGCATCACATGTAACATAGTATCATCTTGTATCGATTAGTATGCAGTTGTCCCTTTTTACATTTTCAACTTGTGTGGAAGTAAGATGCAATGTAACCAGAACGGTGCGTAACGACACCCATTCTTTCGACGTCGCCAAAATTCCGAACATTCTTTTCGTTGGAAGGGTCTTTAGAGGACTGGATTGCGGGTGCATCCTCTGTTGAGAAGGATGTATCGTCGAGAAACCGGACCGCCGCGAGGGACAAAGCTTATTTGTGAGAATATATTCACTATCATACTGTGGAATTATTCCATTAATGATATTGGATCTCCCGTATCACAGGACTCTAAGAGAGAAAGAGGCTGTTGTATATGCCATTCTCATCACCTGATCAACCGTTACAGAGGATTGAAATAAATACATCCATCTAAACAAATCTCGAATTAGCCGTTCTCCACCCATTTAATGCCATCATCCATAGATACCTCCTCAGGCAAACGCTCTTTACCACCATGCATAAATTCCACATCATCCAACGGTCTTCGGTCCCCCAAGACGAGTCAAATGATTCGGAGTATCGACTCCGACATACTGAGCGTCAGCCGCTCCAGGCCAGATTCACGGTGTGCATGCGTTATAGAGCAGATCGAATTGTCTGCGAAGAGAGTTTTCAGGGAGAGATAGGAGAAACTTGCTTGATATTATTCAATTCCTGTAGCCCGAGAACATCTCCCAATCGATGGTAAGCACAAGGTCCATCATGGTCATGCCGGAACAGAGCAATATTCTCTCTGATATCAAAACGGCGTAGGTTTCTGGATCTCTAAATATCTAAGTGAGCAATTGGACTGTTCGACAAAGAAACACACTACGAGGTCGTTATCATACATCGGATACTTTAAATACCCGGAATCGTTACAGAGGACAAGCTTTTCGGGCCCAGGCATGCTGCAACAAGCTAGACTGACTGGAACGCTCTTCGCGAGTATCAATCTCCCAAAGCATGGATGTATAAGGGGGTCCGGCAGAGGATCGCCCATCCTCTTCTTGTCACAGTGGAAAGAAAATGCATCGAGATCGACTGCGCGAGTGATGCACTCATGAAAAAGACACTAGACATCCTTTCCCCATATTTCATATATTGAATGATCAATGAGCTGACGGAGGGGAATGGATAGCCTTCTCAAACCCCATTCACAAATTCAACGACCCGAGAGACGGCGTGGAAGAGAAGAATTGAGGAGCTGCCTCGCCTGTATCTTTAAACATGGATAGGTGCTACTACCCTGATCTACTCTGAGATGACAGTATGACGGTGTAGTACATTTTTCAAAGACCGAAAAACAGTTTAACATACCACCACTTGGAGGATAAATCGAATTTGACCCAGCGGGAGGAAGTGGAAGCGACGCATTGTCTGAGGAAGTCAGGAAAGTCAAGGTGTTGGGTTATGAAGCGGTTCAGCTTTAACTGGATAACTGGGCATGGATTCTTCGAAATTCCAGGACCCTTTGTAACAAAACACAGTATTTCCATGGGAGAATGTCTCCCCATCAGCAAACGGACCAAAGGGTCTGAGAGGTCATGGCGATGTTTCTCTACGAGTGTCGGACACAAAGGAGGGACTGTGGCACTTGTGAGACGGAGGAGAGTTGATTTCCCATGCTATGGGATGCAAACTTGAAAATCAGAAGGAGTAGATCTTCGCACAGACATCGAATGGGAGCAAGGATAGACATGTGATTGGGTCGCATTCATCATTCTGTAGTTCATGTTTCAGATCAGATATCAGGGACTTTTGTAGTTTGACTTCTTGGTCTCTACATCGGACTTCGCTCTCGAGTTAGATAGGGATTGTGTCACGAACGGATGAATCAAGGTCTGCAGCTGAGCATCCACCACGGATGAGTGCGAAAATCATCTCGTTCTTCTTCTGAAGTGTAGCCTTTGAGTTGTTGAGATGGAGAAATGAGGATCAACATTGTTCCATCTCAGCAAGGTTCAGCGTCTCCTATAATTATTCTTCGTGGGCCTGACTTACTCTTCCAGCGGAGATAGATACAAATCAAGCTGCGTGTCTGTCAACGACGGTGCAGTCGTAAAGTCCCCAAAATAGACGTGCACGGATCCTGTCTTTCGCATCTATTAGATAGGAATTCGGTAGGGTTGGTTTACAGCATCAAGGATATCCAATGTGGTGGAACAGCTGCTTGGATGAGCCAGAAGTTGATAAGGAAATGGATCAGTTGCGAAGCTGATACTTTCGACTACGCAAGTAGGAAAATGAGTCTCCGTTTTGTTCGTCACTCTACAATCAGTGATGGGGTAGGGAGTAAGAATCAGAAACACCACCTGTACAGCCTCCGAAGACGAATTTGGTAATCGACCTTTACTGCATCATGGCGCACCCAAATGAAACATGTCATCGACTTGTATTGCCATAAAAATCGAGCTGCACGACCCGTTGAGCTTAGGGTGAAGAGGCTTGATGCTGAACATTGAACCTTCGAGCTTGTGACGCTGAACGCAATGCATAGTACAACAGACGCAGATGAAGGAACGTACGTACTGGATCCCATCTTCTGTATTATCACTTCCCCCGCAGCAGCAAATCACAGAATATGAATGAAATGTTTATAACATTTACAGCATTTTACGGAGTACTCCACCGCATGCGACAGGCCTAGCATATTGGACCATAGTTCAAATTCGACAAGAAACATTACAGCTCTTTTTGTGACCCGTCCGATGTCTTGTTTCAATGGCAGTGAAGTGAAAAATGAAACTCGGCATGTCTCAAGTAGTGTGAGAACATTGACATTCATTTCGTCGCTCTCTAACTCACTGACCCACTCGATCGGATGAATCTGACTGAGACTACTGAGACTACGATGTCCTTCTATTTCAAGATTAACACATGGTAGACACTAACACTCATTTGTATTTAAGTCTGGATCTCCCTCGCACCTCCGAAGTGTCTTCATCAAAATTTCCCCAAGGAGCATCAGAAATGGTAAGCACTTTTCTTTTAGTCCTTCTCTCCTTTAACAAATGAAATCATGCAGGATACCTGCCCTAATTGCGAGTTTGGCGCTGTAATCCCTTACACACCTTCTGTCAATGCTATTGAGCTCTTGCAATTGGGAGCCTCATCGCACGACGCCTGTCATGCCTCTCTGTCGGACGACATCGCCAATCTTGAAGAGGAGCTACAAACAATTGAATCTCTCTTCATACAAATCAGAGATCGACGAGACAGGATTCGCAAGGACCTTGGCTACTGCAAGGCCCTCCTGGCGCCGATCCGTCGTTTGCCTCGAGAGTTGTTACTTGAAATATTCGACTTTGCATCTTCCGATGTTCCTGAACCTCGTCATGCTCCGTGGATCCTCGGTCAAGTGTGTTCCACATGGCGGTGCATTTCTCGTTCTTGTCCCTCCTTATGGACAAGAATCTGCATTGCTAAAGACTGCCGCCAGTATCCTCCTGGGTTCCTCGAACAATATGCCTCTCTCTCCAGAGACTTACCCATGCATGTCTCCATAAAATACATGGACAGTGAAACAATGTACGCTCTCAGTGGCGTAGTCCTCCATCCGGAACGTTGGTCAACTTTAGAGCTGCACACAAATGCAGAAGAGTTGTCTGAGCTACTATGGCTAGCCTCCAAGTCGTCTCCAGCTATTCAATTGACGAACCTTCGTATCAACCTCAGTTATACCATTCAACCCCCGGTTTATGCCACAGTGTCACACAAGCTCTTCTCTTCATCGCCTATCCAAGATGCCACTTTTCAAGATATTTTATATCAGTGTATGCCAATAAACTTGACTGAGCTACACAAGTTCCATGTATATTCATACGATCCTGCTGAACTCCACAACATGCTACAACATGCACAATGTCTAACTGAATTCACCATAACACCAGCTCCGTGTCCTCATGATTTTGCTGGACCAATTTCATATCCTCATATAACTCACACCTCTCTCCAATGGCTTGCATTTGTCATTTCTGGGCCAGATACATATCATTTCGACAAAGTCTCAGTCACTTTCGACTATGTCACTCTCCCTGCCCTCCAGGAGTTCAATATTCTACGGCCAGAACACTGGATGTTTTTCCCAATCACTTTCAAGGCTGTTGAGTACTCCCGTCTGATTAATCTCTTTCAGCGATCAGAGTGCAATTTGACTATTATCACCTTGTCCATACCTGTCTCTGTTGAACTGTTCCTTGATCCCATCCTCATGCAATCTCCAGCTCTCCAAAAGCTGGACCTGATCATTGATACAGCAACAGCAAGGGATACCTTTAAAGCTTTGGAATTTGAGAGAGGAAAAGCCCGGCATCTAAGGGAGCTATGCATTAGAGAGGTTGAAATAGAGATGGGAAATATTAGTCTTATGAAAGAGGCAGTTGGATTTCATGCAATGGTCCTTTCCAGATTGAACAGCAATAGTCACCTGGCAAAACTAAGACTATTATTGCCGGAATTCCATTGGGACATGCATCAAGCCAGCTCAGTCCCTAAAAATTCATCATTCCACAACTTCTTTAGGATCAAGAATCAAGGAATATACACTGAGTTCTTGTTGGATCGAGAGGATTGTCTTGTTGATAGAGACACCCATGTTCACATCTTTGGTTCATCCTAAATCAGTATTGTTTCTTCCATTTATGCATCTGTACTCTTAGTAATATATGCTTTTACATCATTTCCAGTGCTGTTTGTTAGACCCAAACATCATGTGAGTTGATCCTATGATAAACCAGTGTTATATTATTGTTATGATTTTTCCATTCTTTATTTCTTTTCTACAGATTAACCTCTATTTATGCTTAGTCAGAGCATCTAAACCAGCACTTAAGACTATGAGACAGACTTAGTCAGCACAACAAGCCCAGTTGATCATTGTCTTTCAATGCAACAGGTATTGCCCAATGACACACAACTAACCTTTTGTATATGATAATGACACCTAAGGGCAATGAGCACAAAGGACCAAGAAACATACAATAGGCAGTAGTATTTTTATCTTCATGATGTACCATATATAAGACAGCTTGCTCTTGCTGGTAATCTCCAGCTTCAAGCTAAAGGTTTATTCACTCTCATTCTACTCTTGAGCTACTTTAAAAGGCCTTGAAGCATCAGATCAATAGAATACAACAAGTGAACTCTAGTGCAAAGGTTTAAAGATGAAACCATGCTAGTTAATCATGTGCTTCTGATCATGTGTGGCTTGAGTCTAACAATTTGCTTGAAGCTTCATCTTCCCTTTCCTCATGCACTATAGTGTGAAGGAAACCAAATGCTATCTATCAACTCATCAGATCCAAACTTTGATCATGAGTTCTTTGAACTCCATGCATCTATTATCAGAACATTGTTAGGATTATTGGTGATCATACAGCTGTGCTGTAGATGCCAATCAATCACAGCCTGGGCAGTTAGACACTACCAGGAATTTCAGAACATCTGATGCATTCTCTAAAACATAATCTCTGACCTCTCACTCTATGATATCTCTGAATCCAGAAGAATGTCCCACCAGCCTATGGAACACCTCCACCTGCCTATGGAACACCCCCACCCCAAGCCAGGCCTAGTGGCTCACATCAGGAGTATGTTCAAGAAGAAAAAAGACACTGATACCCTCTCAGAATCTGACCAGACAGCTAAAACCAAAACTCTTGTGTTGCAGAGTTCCTGAACCCATAGATCTCACCCCCCATCCCTAACCATGAAGACAAGGACCTCCCCATGTATTTCTTTAATCAGTCACTATCCCCTGATCATACCATTGCCTCAAGGACCTCTGGGATTGGTAACTATGCCAGAGACTCCCTTAATGCCCCTAAGGTGGCTTTGGGATCCCAAAGCCCTATACCATGAACTAACAACTCAGGACACAATTCACTTTATGCAATCCTGACTGGAAGCCTGACCCCCTCAGTCTACTCCCACCACAATGATCATAGAGTGGGGGTGATCTACTAGCCAAACACTACTGAAGAGAGAGCTCAAGAAACCCAGAATAGGACCATCCACAGGCTATTCTCTGACTGGGACCTCAATGTTCCCTTCAATTTTGATGAAGCCTGGAAGCAGCACTACTGGCTATGAGATGAGTGGGCTTGGACAGACCCCAAGCAGATCAGAGAAGACCTTGCAGAGCACACCAGGAAGGAGGCTCAGTGAGAGTATGAAAAAGCCAAAGGAGATCAGCAACAACAACAGCAGCAGCATGAAGTCAAGGCCACATGCCTCAGCAGCACTTCTCCAGGCTGGTACAGCCTTTGGTCTGAGCTCTCTACCTCTGTTTTCCAGAAGCTCAGTATCACTGACACCAACCCATGGGTGGCAGGTCCATGTGAGATCCTTATCACTGATGAAGTCTGAAGGAGAGGAGACAATGGGGTCTCTTCACCTCTATGAGATGACTATTCCCCTCAGCAAACCAACAACCCTGAGACCCTTGAGTATCCCCCTTCTCAACATACTCCTAGTTCTGACACTGCTCACTTGGATGCTGAGTCTATCCTCAACCTCTACAGACTACAAGTACCTCTCAATGCCCATGTCTCCAACTATGCCCTCTGGTGATTTCTTAGAAGTCAAATCACTAGACAGTTTCTCAATAAGGAGTTCTATGGAAACTTCTGAATCCATAGTGAGGACTTGGAGACAATATGAGTGGCTGACAGCAACAGGTAGAATGCTGAGATTGGAGCCAGTCCCTAAGCAGGCCTCTCCACTATTCCAGTCCCCATCAATCTGAGCACCACTACTGGATCTAGCACACAGCTAGAACAGTGGATCCCCAGCAATGATCAGACCACCTAAGGCTGAGGTGAATATCTTCAGCCAGCCCATCACTTCTCTTCTTGAGGAAGAGAAGGATGAGGATGACCAGAGCAAGGATGACAAGGGCATGAGGAGCAGCAAGGACCCTTATAGGCTCGAAGATTTTATGAAATACACTAAGGAAGACACAGACAAAGAAGCACTGGAGGAGGAAATACAGAGAGCATGAGTTGAGGAGTACCATGACCTATACTAGAGGGGGGTAACATTCTTATGGCACAATGCCAAGTGGTTGGTATCACGAATGGGACAATTATATATTAACTCAGAACCAGATGAACAGCAGGATATTTTACAATATTTCACCATCAAATATACAGCACAGACTTATAATTGGAATCACTCAGAGGATGTACTCCAAGACCTACCAGCATATAAATCCAGGTTCAACATCCAGCTGATGCTGTGGTCACCACCCACCACTCTGTAGCAAGCCATGTATATGGCCCTCTCAGCCTGAAGCCAACAGAGTTGGCAATTAGACATTACCCCATCAGTCTGATCCTTGGCAACTCAGCTCTCTTGCTTCAGACCATAGCTGAGGATCTAGCCCCTTGGCTTCTGAAACTCATAGACCAGCAAAGAGAGCCAATTACTTAGTGCTTAACTACCACCAGACAAGGCCACCAGAAGTGGAATAGGAAAGGAGCTGGCCTATGATGATCTGGAGGCAGTCAAGTTAGGATTCATGGTACAGGATGAAGTGATTGTGTGAAAGAAAGCCATGCCCCAAGAAAGCCCCATTGCTGATAACAACTTGCTTCATTCCTTCTCTGGGCTGCCCACTAAATGGTGCCACCTGCTCTTCAATGAGTGGCCCAATCTTATGGGACCACTGCTCAAAAACACTGCAGTCATGCAGTGTTGACCTGATCTCCTGCAAAAACCCCAACTTTTCAAGGGAGCCTCCAATGATATCAACTGTTTCCTGGTAGATTGTGAATAATACTTTGGGGTGTACATCATCTATCTAGGAACTGATATGAACTGCATTGCCTTCACCTCCTTGTACCTGGAAGATAAGGCCAAGATGTGGTAGATCCTCATCTCTTCAAACTTGTGATCAATCATGTGAGAACACTATTAGTATCCCTTGTGGCTGGTCTTCAAACAAATGCTGAATGACAAATTCATCAACTCAGCAGTACAAGAAGTACACAAAGAGAAGATCAAGGAATAGAAGATAGAACATAAGGCAGTAACAGACTATTTTGACAAACTAGAGTGACTTGCCAAACTTGCTGGAATATGAGATGATGTAGCAAACAACAGAAGAATAGTTGAAGCCCTCAAGAGAGGATCTCTGCCCTCATACATCATGATGAACTCAGCAATTGGAAAGTTTATTCTGATTGGATACAATGAATAGAAGGAATGGATCATCAAAATGTGCAAGGAGCAATAATGACAGAAGACAGAGCAGTCCACTCTGCAGGAGTATTGAAAGCCAAATAAGGCATCAATGTCAAACTCCAAAACAGACAGCTCACCTCCTGCCAAGTCAGGATTGTCAATGGCTAGCACATCATCCTATAGCATCCAGAAGACAGGCACTGGCACAATCTATACAGAGGCAGAAAAGCCCATGGACATTGACTGATTAAAGAAGGAGGGTAAATACTTCAACTGCAGCCAAAAAGGCCACATGTTGAAGGACTGCCTGAAAAAGAAACAAACATGCAAAGATATCAGAGCACAGATTGCTGAGCTGCAAAAGAAAGCAGAGAAACTCAGTGCTGAAATGAAGATCAAGAAAGTAAAAGATGGGGCTGACCAGTGAGTGATTCCACTGGGTTGGCCAAAGGACTTCATGATGTGCAACTCATAGCTGCTGGATGGACTAATAGCACCTCTATAGTTATGCCTATGCCTAAATTATTCACACATTCAAATATACCTGAATTCTCCATTCTGCACACCAAAGAATTGCCTAAAGAAAAAACTCAAATGCCAACAGGCTGAACAGAGGGAGAGACCTCCACCAAATGGCTCAAACCATTCAACACTGAATGAACTTGGAGGGCTATTAAGGATGCTAAAACAGAAGAAGCAGCAAAAACTGTACTCAAGAATTAGATACATAAGATCTGAACCAAAGAAGTGATTGACAAAATAATAGAAGGAATGAAGACAGCTGAAAGATATTGAGCCCTGGAGTGGCTCAATGAACTACATGGACCCTGGAAATACATCTGACAAACCAAGATGACTGAGTGGGACCTAACAGTCAAAGCCCAGATTGAAACCCTCACAAACTGCTCTATGCATGTGGTAACCTAACCATATTGGTTGACAGCAGCTGCACTGGCAGTTCAATTAACCAAGCTTTCATTGATAAGCACTAACTCCTGACAAGAGCCACCACTACCCCCATCCCAGTTTACAATGCAGATGGGACAAAAAACCAAGCCAGTTTGATAACTGATTTTATCAAATTATGGCTCACAATCAGAGATCATTCTGAATGAATTGATTTGGTAGTTACTGACCTCAGAACAAAGAAAGTGTTCCTTGGATATGATTGGTTGATCCATCACAACCTCCTGATCAACTGGAAAACTGGAAGGATCACCTTCACCTGCTGCAAGTGTCAAAAACTCCCATTCAAGTTGCCAGATGAAGACTCTGAGGACAGATAGAACAAAGAGATGGAGGATGGCAAAACCATCCTTGCCATTGACATTTAACAAGCCCTGTATATCTGAGCCACACATCACACCAATGATTTGGCCACCAAGGCTAATGTAGAGAAAGAGAAGAGAATGTTCAAGGAGATGGTGCCTGAAT